CAAAAGCTAGAACAACATACACAAAAGAAATCCTAAAATAAGACTTCTAAAAGACTGCAGTATGCTGCAAGGACCGCACCTCACAGTCTCAATTTCTCAGAACCAAAGAATGCCTCTTTAAATATCCAGATGTGAAGCAGGAAATGAAGCAAGGGGCTCTGATTTTGTCTCCAAACGAGGCAATTCCTAAAAGCAGAATAAAAGTAGCATTAGAGGATGAGTAAATTAATTCATAATACCCTCATCTTTCAAAGTGACATGCTGAATAGAGGAGGTCAAATGAATAACAGTGATATACTGGAGGGGCACTTGGAGCTCGCCAAGGCCATGCCCTCTCTAGTAATGCCAAGTGCAGTGGAAAATCATTTGAGTATCCGCCCTGATATGGCAATCGATCAGCTCCAAATGTAATGGGTTCGGTCTTGGCCTATGCTACTCCCTTCAGTTTATAAAAAGAATCAGGCTAGTCGTTTTTATGTATTCCTGCTGATAAACAACAAACGAAGAAAACAGCCTTCATGGCGGAGGTAAAAAAAGAGTCTTCATGGACACCCTTCGCAGTATTACAAGGATCCTGGGGCAAAGAGTACGTTTGTGTTTCTGCAGTTCAAATTCCAAAACATCAATACGACTTTTTCAGATATATTTTCGGGCATATTTAAGGTCTTTGATATTCATGAGTATCCTCCTATTTGCCCTTCCCTACAACCTTGTGTCATGCGTTATTTCCGTTTAAGTTTGCTTCAGAGTTTGAGTTGATGTTCTGCCTTTTTCACCAGGCTCATAGCCCAGCATGCAGAGGATACAGCCAAAAGCTCCAAACACCACGAACCAGCTCTAAAAGTTAGAGCTTTTTAAGCAACCCTTGAAAAATTCAACTAATTTCCACTCAGGACCGCAGACATGTCTCACATATGTTTCCCTTCTTCCAACAATGACAATAAGTGGGTAAATGCATATCGACATAACCATCCTCTGAAAATAAAAAGAATAAATACTCAGTTTTACCGTTGCAGCATCATAACAGGCAGAGTTAAGTAGAAAGTCAACAAAGCCAAGACCACAAGCTCCTCGTCCGTGCACCACCTGATATCAAATTCATTTTCATCTTCAATTGCTTTGAAGTGCGTGGAGATATTGAAAAGTTACCATAATTAAAAGTCCAACTAAATATACACATAAATAAATTGCATGAAAACAAATCTGCAGCCTTTGTTGCTCCGGATTCTCCCTGGTTTAGAGGAAACAGATACACTTTGTTTTGAACATTTACAGCAGAAAAAACTTTATTGCAAATTCAGCAAAGTTGCACATTTGTACATCTGAACAATGAGCTGAAACTATGGAGCTCCATGTAGCTGGGGGGAGCTGGAGATTTTCTATAAGTTCATTATTACGAGTCACTCCTTCACACTCTCATTCGCTTTTTGATTTGACACAATAATAGAATAAAAGTTTATTGCAAAGAAGACTTAAGCTTGTTCCCTTTTTTTTGTTGAGCAGGTGAAATAGGTCAGAAACACTTGTTTGTTCTTCATGCTCTCAGTCAGCCTTACTTTCAGCAGTGAATGTAATTTTCCTTTGAAAATTCAGCAGAGCCTTTTGCCAGCCTTCAACATTGTTTTCATGTTAAGGGAAATTGCTGAGTTCTAAATTCTGACAAGGCAGAGATAAGACAAGTCTGTCTGTTAGAAAAACAAAGCTTCCTTCGAATAAATCTTTCAAAAGCAGAAACCAGTCGCTCAATATTGTAACTGTATTATTTTTCACTATTATCCTACAAAACAGTGGGCCAGGTGTTGAGAAAACCAGTCAATCATCCCTTTGCGATGAAAGCGTAGCGAGGGTGAAACTAGCCGTGTCAGCGCTGCTCCAAATCTCATGGTTTCAGCTGTCACAGCCGCCGTACTCTGCTAATGGCTTTATGCTGCAGAGGTAACAGGAAGAGAGAGAGAGAGAGAGAGAGAGAGAGAGAGAGGGGGGTGGGGGGGGAGCTTCAGCCATTAGCACTGATCCTTTAGGCCAGCACACTCCCTTGCAAAGATCATGCACAATGAAACATGATGCGGTTGTCAGTAGTTTGTGTCTGGAAGAAAACAAGTGTGCTTATTTGGTTGTATGTTCATGTCTACATTATGTGAATCCATGTTTCTGTGTGAGTGAAAACAAAAACTGCTATTCAAATGTTGTGTTAGTCTTTTGAAACTACAGAGCTGCCCAATTGAATTAGCGCAGATGGGAATAAGTGCAGATACTGTAACTGCTTTATTTATTCTGTAAAGTTTAATAAAAGTGGCATTTAGGTTGCGGTAGAGGAATGAGTGACATTCACTCACAACAAAGAAACATGGAGGGACGTGCAGAGCGCTTTAAAAAGGGCAGGTACTTTTAGTAAAAGAGACATTATGCAGGGCTCTTCACAAAGACATGAAGCAGCCAGCCTGAAATATGTGGGCAGTTAAAGCCCAGATTAAGTGGCTTTTGTCACATTCCAATTCCACTATTTTATCATCTACACTGATCTTTATTATTGCATCTCTGAGGTTCTCCCACCCGAAAATTATTTTAAACATGTAGCGCGGTGAACTATTATATGATGACTAACTTTGACAACATTGTCTGTTTTATTGTGTGTTTGCAATAGTTTTTTGCACATAGAAAAGAAAAAGCACTAAAATCAATGAAAACAAAAAAGGTGTGTCGTACTTGTCAAGTGAGAAAATGCAATTCTCCAGTGATTTTGGGTCAATAGGAGACATGAAATTAAGGTATTCAAAAGATTCAATAGATTTAAATAAAAAACTGCTGATGTATCAAAACAATACTCCTTAAAAAATAAAATAGGAATTACAACCCAGGAAAAGGGAAGTGTCCTATTTTTCCAGTCTGTTATGGATTGGAAGTCACTGTTTTACATGATATGGAAGCTAGTTGAAAAACAAAAAAACGTTAAAATATTCTTTTAATATCGGTTATGTGTCATTCAAACAGTAATTTATTAATGGTCCCTTAGTGAAACCCTGTGGTTGAGCCAACAAAGGGCACGTCACGGATGACCTTTCACCTGATGAGGGTCATCTTATGATGTTAAATAACTGTCCACAGGTGAATGTATTTATAGCTAATATGTCATCTTGACAAGGCAGGCAACCAAAAACGAAAAAAAAGATCATTTAGGACATCAAGGGGCAAAGGGACAGGATCTCAATGCCATCTGGGGATTGACAGCCGTTTCCTCTGAATCTTATACAGAGAGCTAATTTAGGTGCCACCTTATTCATCCTTTTGTTGTGCCACCTTCACAACCATGCCTTTATCTGACTCTCCCCCAGGAGCCGTGATACAATCGGTGGGCCTGGACAACTCCCTGAGCATTTAGCCCTGACAGCTGACAGGAGCTGGCTTCTATACACGGCCTTGATGAATGTAAGGAGAGACTCAGGTGTGACTGCAGGTTTTTCTGACTGTTGTGTTTAAATGAGCAGGAGTAAAAACAATCTGTTACTTCAAGAGCAGTGGGCAAAAATGATTCTTTCAATAATAATACCATACACCTGCATTAGTCAATTAAACACATTTCACTTCCCTTTTCCACCCTACAACGTGAAGCAACATTTCTCTGTAATCATTCCAGGTTGAATACCAAGAAAACCTGTGAGCACATTATGTCAAACATTACTAGCTTTATATCACTGTTTTATGGTCTACGTTCCTTGCCTTAAAACATCACTCAGGTCACCTCCAAACACATCAAAGACACTGCCAACTCATTAGGTGACAGAGCACTAAAAACAACTCCTAATTTACTCACTTTTTTTTTTTAACAAAAAGCTTCACACTTCCCAAAGGAAATAGCAAAAAAGCATTAAAACAAGTTGGATGTTGTCAGAAGCTGCCAGTTACTGCCTCTTGAGCCCAGAGACAAACACATTAATGAGACATCTCTATGAACCTTGTTTATCAGAGTTATGTTTGACAAAACTTCTGGGTAGGATTTACTTTGACAGCAAAGTATTTCTCTTGATTTTCCAGCTATAAGTTTGACCTAATATCTTGAGTGGAGTTTGTTCCTTATTTGAAAAGACGCCTGCATTAACCTACTTTAATTATAGGCATCTATGCCTCAGAACAATCACATTGATCCATGCATTTGTTCCCCATTTTAACATTTAAAAATGTGAGCTTTAAAAAGCAAGGGGATATTTAAGGTTGTCATGCAGTTCAGGTGAGGTTATTATCTTGTAGCCAAGGGGGCTTATTGTCTCATGGCACTTTGTGTGTTGCCTTGGGAGCAAATCAGCACAGAAGCCCCAAGAGGCTTCTTCATAACTGACCTTTTACAGTATGTTGCAGGTTGTCAGTTGTTGTCTTCAGGTGATGGACAGCAAATCAGGGACAATTCCCAAAACATTTCAGATGTGACTTCTTAGACCTTGCAAAAATAAACTGCAATGAAGTATCCATTCACAAATACTTGTTTGTGCTTGCATACACACCCACAACTCACAGTGTTAGAGACACAGGAACACTTACCGCTCACCACACACCCTCCCTGCAGTGACATTTGAAGGACAGGGGGCCTGCAGGGAGTGCTGGTTTTGAGAGGTTAGATGAGGTGGAGGGCTGGTTGGTTGTGGGTGTGAGGTAAACAACACCTCGGAGTTCAGCGTGCATGTATAATGTGCTCTCTCGCACCGGCGGCTCTGCTGGGCGAGGCTGCTGATGACAAGCTGTCTGGAGAAGTCTCCTGCTCCGGCAGCATCTCTACATCAGTCTCTCACACTGTCTGTTGTCCAGCTGTCAACTCGGTAAACTTCCTGCTTTTGTGTCCCTGTCTTTCCTTTCCCTGCCTCATACAGTCATGACTCTCTTTTGATCAGATACGTATTAACACAACACGTTTAATGATATAGAATCAGCTGTTTCTGACTTTTTTTTACTCCCATTTGATATTTTGTTGTGGATTTATAGCAGCAGTCAAAAAACACCGGGGCATTCCCTTTAACTTTGTACAATTTTATGAAATGCATACTAATGATATAATCAGGGTCACTGGCAGCAATGCACACATGCAGATCAAAATACAAAGATATGTACAAATGTGAATTGTACACTCTCAAGGTGTGTTCAGACTGAAGGCGGAGCAAATGTCAGAGGCGGCGTGATTGCATACAAATTCAATGGACAAGGTAGTTTACTCAAGGCAGCGTGAACTGAAGCAAAATCACGTCCACACAGGTTGAAAATGCTGCAGAAAGTGTGTGCTTAAACCCGAGCTATTGTACTCCACTTTATGAACATACAGAGACAAAGAGAGTCCGGAGGAAATAACAGAAACAGCTTGAGATCAAGTTTCCACATCAGTCCGATTCAGAGCACACACCTACTGTACAAAGGCACACTCTGCTCACACACACTGTTAGGTCGTTTCAGCTAACATCTGGACTCTGGGTGCATTGGCTGTTAGGCGTGGATAAACACTCCAGCAGTCAAATTTGTGCGAATAAAGCGAGTTGAACATTTTCTCCGATTTCAGTCTGAGCACACCTTTACAGCTATCTTTAAAAATGTACCAGTGGTTTTTACCCCCCGACCTGAGTTCAATAACCTCAATTGTTCATGTCGTCCAATTGCAGCCCATCTCACTACTGATTGGTCTTCGAGAGGGCAGAGGTGCTATCTGATTGGTTGTTGTTTCAGACAAGTAGATGCAAAAACAGACAGTAATGAATACTGTTGTGTTCTGAGGAGATAAAAATCACATTGACATCATTTACTCAGGGCATACACATAGAACATTTATTGCTGCGTAATCAGGCTTTAACCTTTGATGCCATATTCATTGACATAAGGATTTGTTAGGATATATATTTGAAGCTAAAACAGCCCTTGGTTGCTTCGCGTTTTTCCCTCATCAAAACTTTAATCTCAGGGATTCTCACTGACAAACGGGAGACTTCAGGAAAAGGCAACTCTTCACCTGAAGTCATAAACACACGCACGCACGCACACACACACACACAGGCATACACTCACACAACTGTCTTTACTGTCACCCATTAATACCTAACACCATGTGATAAAACATAGTCATCAAAGTGATTTTGCATGGTACAAAAGGTCAATCCCTCAGATTTTCTCACATCACCTAATTCTTTTTTGAGAAATTTAAAAAAGTAAGGTAATGATCAAAACACTGGGGATACAACAGTCTACCTCTAAATATCAGGCTAAAATATGAGCATGTCCTTTTGGGATGGAGCGAGAAGCAAAATAAGCTTGCATTAAAAGATGCAATGTTTTGTTCATTATTACAGTGTCAGTTTTTGATAACAGACACATGGTGTGTGTAAGGGTTGCTACAACATACTGTATGTGTGAGGAGATGGGGAAGAGAAGATGAGTGCATCAGGGTCATTTCAAGAAAAAGCATACTGTATTGCAATCCCAGAACCATGCTTAAAGAACACTAATGTGTCCATAATTGATATGTTGTGGAGTAACTCTCAAATTAAAGCTTTCATAGAGATGGTTCCCGCTATTCAAGGTTTCTTTTTTTTTCTTTTTTTAGCATAGGAGGCTAAAAGCAAACAAAGTTCCCTGTGTGCAGCAAGGAATGTCTGTGAGCTAGAACGATCCTCATGTGCTGAGTGAATATGGCTGTTCGCATCTCTGGTTGTCCCCTGTGACTCCAACGTCTGAAAAAAAAAAAGAATCCATGAGGAACCAGTGTCCCCAAAGAGAAATGTGCTGGAGGGAACAATCTCTTCAGCGCACAAAGTTCATTTGACATTTTTTGCTTCGTTGTTTTATACACCGTCCACACTTTAAAAAATGTTATAAAACTGGAAGCCACTGGCAGACAAAAAGTCCTAGACAACAAGTTAAAGAGATCGTATGGGTTAAATGAAATAGGGATTAAGTAACGGCAACACTTGCACGTGCCTATTCTCTTTTTCTACAAAAATAGTGGAATAGAAATCACATGGTTATCACCCAACACTGACATCTTGATACACTTCTGTATATAGGTAAAAATCTTGGTTAAATGCAATTCCTTTATGCAGTCCACGTCCCTCGCAACTCTTGTGGGTCTGTCCATTCGTCTCAAATCCTTAAGCATGGTGAGAGGAAGTGAAAAAGGAGTGTGCTTCAAGACTCACTTTATTGTCAAACTGTGAACCATTTTGGTCCACAAAAGGCTGCCCCATGCACACGTTATTGTTTCTTCTGATGGGGTTTGTAAAGCTCCATCCAACCTGGCTCTCATTCAGACTCATTTCTTCATGTTTGAGTGAGTGTGATATGTTGGAGATAGAGAGAAAAAAAATAAGCAATTTCACGAATAGCTCCATGCACGGTCATACATCCGCAATCTGTCCATTTATTTTCATTATCCGCTGCCACTCAAGTTAACAGAGGCACAAAGCTTTGATCAGTCGATGCCCATCTCCTGTTTCAAAAATACAGAGGTATGGTGAAGTGTTGAGAATAATCGAATTCATGCCTTGGATACCTGAGGCAGTGCTCTCACTCACGCTATGAGCACTCACTCTTGAACTCTCCTCTACCTTGCATTTTGACTCTGAACTCAGCAGAAGGTCCTGTGCCAGAGAGAGTAGGACCTGTTGTTTCCGTCTGCCAGAACAGATGGACATTAGATCCGCTTTTTGCATTCCCAGCCAAACAAATGATCTGCCTTCTCCTTTGCCAGCCTTCCTTCCGCCTTCAAATATTCTGCCACTTCCGAGCCTCCTCCCACTTACTTGCTGCACTGCCTCTGAAACATAAACAATCCCAAACAGTCTGTGTTGGCATGGAGAGATATTTTCAGTTTGGGTACTTCTATTTTTGCATTTTCGACCTCCCAAGCTGACACCAGGAAAAGAAAATTACAGTAGAGCAACAACAAGACTCTCTGGTGTCTTTGAGTTAAAGCTCTTTTGTCTCTGCTTTTACTGACTCCCTGATACAAATGGGTCTCCTGGTCTTCCAATGTGAGCAGAACCTTCCATGTCCACCCCTTCAAGTTAAGCCCTTGGGCCTTTACTTCGCCAGGCCCCCTTCCTCGCCTAACCAAGACCAGTACTCTAGGTAGCACAAAATAGGACTTATACAAATGTATAGAAAGGGGTTGAGGGGGCAAGATGAGGGTTTGGTTTTGGAATACGGGACATCGTGTGTCGTCGAGCCTCTCTCTCACTGATGGAAGCAGAGAGAGTGAGAGGGACAGCTATGGGTTTAGATCCAAGGAATGGAGAGACAAAGAGAGAGTGAACAGTAGGTTTCATCTGTTTTCCCGACAAGGCCCTACTGTTGTTTGGCTTGAGCTCTTCACTTTGAACCCTTGCTGACCATCTACTATTTCCCCTCTTCCTTCTCCTCTTGTATCCACCAATACTCCCGTCCAAGGGTTGGCCAAAAAGCCTTGGGGGTCCATAAGCTCCAGTCCCAGAATCTCCCTGCGGCTCTCCCTGCCCCGGGACGACAGCAGCATCCCCCCTTGGTCCAGGCTGCCTGTGCTGTTGCACTTCTTCACTGCTACCCCCGGGTACACCAGGGAGCTGGGGGACAGCAGGGATGTGAGAGACAAGCTGCTCAGCGTCTCTGACAAATGTTCACTGTTGCCCGCTTGGCTGGAGCCACAGCCCCCAATGGACGACCCAATACCTATGCCCAGGTCCTCGTCTGAAGGGTCGATGGAGTCGTCCCGGGTGTAGCCCGGGCTGGTGCTCCCTCGGCCACTGCTCTGGCTCCGCTGGTGGCCCTTGGTGGCCAGGAGGGTGAGGGCCGACGAGGGGCTGGGCCGCTGTCTCAGGGTCCGGACCGGGGAGGAGATGGCGGTGCTGTCTTCAGGCAGCGGGAGAGGGCACACGAGTGGTAAGGGAGCTGTCGGCAAAGACAACTCCAAGTTCTGTGGTGGGGAGATGCTGAAGCTCAGGCCCTCTTCTAGGGTGGTCTGGAGGCTGCCCTCAGAGCTGCCTGTAGCAAGGGACGAGTCACTGTGGGACGGGTACTGAGGACAAGAGGTAGAGCGTAGACAAAAGAAAGTGAAGCACAAATGTTAAATATGTTATATTTTAACACAACACACAATAGTAGAAATAAACTGAATGTAAAACCAGTTTTCATCATGCTATTGGATCAAGGATCGTCTGTTGTCAGTGACCACACAGGTAATTTCTCCTCCAGCGAAACACAACAATTCATCATTTTATTTTTGCTTCACCATTAACAGCAAGCAAATTACTCAAGACTCTACTTCGTTAAAACCTCACAACTATCTTCATCCACTTTTAGTGTGTTATTTGATTGTGTATGCCACTCCTCTCGTCTTACCTGTGTGCAGAGCATCTTGCTGTGGGCCCCTGGGGAGCGGAGTGAGGCCCAGGAGGCAGGGGAGGTCAGCCTGAGGCCCCTGGTCAGCCGTAGGCTCCTGCTGCGGGGGGGTGCTGGGATGGCTGCTACTGCGGGGTGGAAGAACTCTGCGGGCAGATGAAAGAGAGGAGACACGCCACTCGCTCCACCTCCACCTTCTCCGTTTCTTTCCTGGTTGCTGCTTCTGGAAATGCCACCTGGGGGGGGGGGGGGGGGAAACACTCTTTCCATTTTTATCGTGGTGTCAGTTTATGTTAATCGTGTCCCTTGTCCGTTTGAAAGCTACAGCATAAGAGTATTCGTCCCATATATCAGTCTAATCACATACCCAAGTGCTTCCTTCTGAAAGGGGTTTTCCTGATTTTAGATATTTGTTGAGGTTTTAATGAGAAGTGGGTATCTATTATTTGTGATTCTATTTGGTATACAACCTTGTGTCAGCTCCACCACCTCCTAAAAAACCTTGCTAAAAATATGTCTTCCAAATGTCACTCACCACCGAAATTGGAACATAAACCAAGCAAGACATTTAATAGAAATTGATGTTATTTGCTGGTACAAAAGCATATTTAAATCCATTTATCATTAATAGATTCCTTTGAAAATCAGCTTGGTAGTAGAGTAAAAATACTGAAATATTTTTAATGTATATTTATTAATATCTGGTTTTACTCACCAGGGCTACAGTGAGGAGTGCATGTGTGTGGTCGATGTGTTTGCATCTCCATCTCCTGTATTGCAGTCTCCACATCGATCCCAGCGATGAGGGGCCTGCACGGCTGGCCCAGGCTCTGCACCACCGTCTGGGTGGGGGGGCCTCCTGCATGACTCCCCCCCCCTCCAGCCTCATCAGAGCTGCGGGAGTCACTGCTGCACCTTCCCTGGAAGAAAACAGATGAGCTGACATTAAAGAAAGTACTTTCCAATTCATCTACAGGAGAGGTTAATCAAGTAGGTGTGGACCTTTACTCAATTTATTAAAAAAAACACATTGGAGATGTAGGGGAAAACACATAGACATGCTTGGGCTTATAGTCATTAGCATAGCTTGTATTAGCCTTTAGCTCTTTTTCCTTCTGCAAAAGGACAAGTCAAGTTAAGGATTAGCATTATGTTTGTGATAATTGCTCAAAGAAGCCTGATAGAAAATGTGGAACAGAAGAAAGAAGACCCTTTGGCATCTTGCCGATATCAAACATGGCCTCTTATTCACATCACCCCTCTGGTGTTTCCTGTAAGTGCTAGGGAAGCGTTGAGGACTGATTATGAGCTGAAAGAGCCTGTAATTGACATGTTAATTTTAAATATCGTGACAATAAATGTTTGTATATCAATGTGCCTGTGTGTGATGGCTGCAACAGCTGGAAGTGGAAGCAGGAGGTAGATTAGGGCAGTTCAGATTTGTAAGCTTACCTCGTACGTTTTAATTACCATCATGAAGGGACTGCAGAATCATTTGTGCGTGTTCGTGCACAGGAGTGTGTGTGAGGGTACTCTTTTGTGCTCCCACTAGTGTATTGTATCTCGGAGTTGTTCAGTTATAGCCACTGAACAGCCCCCTTTCAAGTAGACAGCCACCCAAACACACCTCAAACAACCTTTGCACACACAATATTTTTTACCAAACAATGTTTGACATATAAAATCCCTAACCTTAGATCCTGCCTCACCTTCTGCCTTTCCCTCTTATCTCTTTTCCTATCCCCCCTTCTCTAATGAGCATTGGTTCACAGCCATGCTTGGCGATTGCAGGCTTATCTGGCTATCCTCAACCAAGCAGCATTACCCCATTACAGACGGGGATATCTAGGAAGGACGGACGATAAGGAAAAGAGATACAGGGGCTAGAGGGAGGTGCAGAGAAGGTGTGCAATTACCAGAGGGGCAACGCTGGGAGAGTAGAAGCATGCACGATAAAGTGGAAATGGGGAGAGTGGGTGTAAAGAGATGGAGGCAAGAGAGCCACCCAGGACAGCCACTAGGGAGAGCCTCGTTTTATTCATGAGCCGAGACTGTGGATTCTTCAAAGACAAGATAGTAACCTCTGATACACAGAGAGAAAGAGATAAAGGGGCCTCTGGAACCAAAGGTTTGGACTGTAATTCACAGGAGCGCCTACAGCATAGCTATGCCAACAGTTTTATTATGGTCATTTGTTTTGTGCTTCCTTGATTAAATATAACAAATTATCGGATAGCAAATACTATTGTTTGTGTTCACCCTTTGGGAGCAATAGGACAAAGTACCAGTGTACTGTACATGTCAAGTAAAAACTAGTGGGCATACTATGTGAAATGAGGATGCATTGTTATGAGAGTGGTTACTGCAGCTTTTTCTTGTTCTAAAACTTTATTTATTTTTTTTAACACAAAAAGACCTTCTGAGAAGATCTGACAAGCAGGTATGCATCCTAACTAAATTAACCAGGTGCTGACATTAAAGTAGATGTTCAGTCCCTGGCTCTAGGTCACATAGTCACTAATCACTCTCTGCGAAGTATTACTGGAATGAACATCATTATAGCAGGATTTCTATCCAAGCAGCCTGAATAGCAACTACTGGGCAAGGCAATACAAACTAAATCTTTGCAACATGCACATTATTACCACTTAATAAAGATGGGATCTAACTTTGTAGCGTATTAAAAACAACATTTTAATTACCTTGCAATGTCTTTTTTTCATTCGTTAATGAGTCCTGGGGATATGCGTATATATAATTATTAGTACTCAGTATTTTTCAAGGCCTGAGGCACACATATGTTACAAAAGGCCCAAGGGCCATTTTAATCCGTCCCGCAATCGCCACAAAGCAAAATGATCAATAAAACACATTATTATGTTAATAATATCTCAAGGCGTATGAATACAATGTGTTTTTATGTTTCAACTAAAATGTCCGATGTGTTGCTCTCACTTGTGTTATCTAAGGCAGTTATGGCCGTCAGGAAAAATCCCCCCCCCCCCCCCCCCCACTCTGCTCACACCCACCTTGCACTCTTGCGGCAGCAGCTGATAGGAGGTGTGTTCGTCCAGGCTGAGGTCATCTGGCAGGGCGGGGGACGAGGACTTGTCTGACATTTGCTCTGACCTCAGGGATGCCTGCTCAATCTCTGCCATCCTGATCTGCTGCAAAAAGTGACCTCTGTTATTCATGTCTTAAGACGGGAAGGGATGGGAAATAGGAGCAGCAAACATTTGAGACTTCCTGGAATTAATAGCGCATTGTCTTATCAGTGCTAAATATAATGCATGAATTATTCTATTGTTCACAACAACCATGACTGACCTCAATATATGATATCTTTGTATACATAGATATTACAATTCTAAAGGGTCAGCAACACTGTTTTGAAGATGTCTCTCATTATTCATTTATGGTTTACATAGAGATATTCCTACAGGCCCATATGAGCTACACAGACAAAATAGGTAAAACCTCCGCCAAGTTTCCATATGCTTCACCAGATGTTGACAATTCAAAGTGGCCAAAATGCCGAGGCACCTGTTTGTAAAGAGAGCAAGGTGAGAGATTTAAAAAAAGAACAACATTGCTTTGTCATCATTCATTGAGCAACATTTGTGAAGAGAGAGAGAGGCTGAATGAGCGGCGAGAGGCAGATATCCAAGCAGTGCGTACACAGCAGGTGGGTGTGCATGTACATGTAATCGAGAGTGAAGAGATGTCTTTCTGGCCGTCAAGAGTGAAGTTGTAGCTGCACCAGACCCTCATAATTCTACCCCTACAGCCGACTGAGTATGTTTTCAAACACAGGTGTACATTGAAATGAGTTTGCTGTGTGTAATGGCCTTTCATAATCCTTGAAATACTCTCACACATGTACAGCAACCTTTACGGAAAAAACCCAAATAATTAGGAAGTGACAACAATTACTCGAACTGTTACTACTTTCTCTCTCTCTCTCAGTTCTTCAACATCATCTCCAGCTATTTGCTCAGCAGGTAGATCATTTGGCAAGTGGGTTTTAAAATCGTGCGAAATAAGCCTTCTGTGAGCTTTTTCCCTGTCTTTCCCCTTGCAGCGCTTTTTCAAAACATACTGCAAACAGTGAGCTGGAGTGGAATTCAGGGTTCTGGGGGTGCTATGATGAGCTCAAGCAGTGTTTTCTTTAAAGAGACGGAGCAATAAATAGCCAGAGAGAAGCATTAAGAAGGGTACTTAAAACGGGCCCAGTGAAATCCAATGGAGTGAGGCCTGTTAGCGATAAATTAACACGTACCCGTAGGTGAGAAAGAAAAGGAGGTTCATAGAGAACGACTCATGGCTGATATGCACCAGTAAATTACCATTGCCCAAAGGGGGGGGGGGGGAAAGAAAGAGATAGAGAAAGAGAGAGAGGTGGGATGAGACAAGGAAGCAAAGCAGAGGTAATGCAACTCATTAATTTAAAGGAGCACTTAGCACTTTTTCTGTTTTATTTCTGTACATCGGCCCTCTCCCTACTGTAGCCATTGTAAATGGCTTGAAAAAGGTCCATGGGAATCATTGGTTGGTACATTTATTTTGGAAGTTAATGGAAACTACTTCTCGTGTTCTTGACTGTGCCTCCGGGGACAATGAAAAAAGGCACGATGAATACAGGGGGAGTTGCTACACACAGTTGCTTCCAGGGTAACTGCAGAGATATTAAAGGCTTCACTGGGGGACTCAGGCAAGACCCGATTGAAAATGTCCATTGCAGCCTGAGAGTGAAAAAGGAAAAGCATTGGTTTTGTTTTCATCAATGCCACTGGGAGGCAATGATACTAGAAGATAGAGTGAGTTGGCAAAAAGAATAAGCTTGACTGATATCTCAGGGCCTGAGGGCCACATTGACTGACGCATGCTAGTGTGGACACGATAAGCATTTATGTTAAACAAATTACACCAGCAGTCAAATGATAATTTTCTACAACATGCAGGAGTAAAAACAAGCACAGCTCCAAATCGTCCTGTTTGCTGTCTATAACTTTCAGGTCGACCGAAAGACCACTCTGCTGACCACTTGAAAATAGCTGATTTAAATGATTTGGTAATATGTATTCCAATGTTTGTATCATAGTTGCTTTTAAGTCATATACATGTATGTTACACAATACACAACATCTACACGGCAAAACAAACTCCAGTATATTCTGCAAATCATTTCTTCTCATTTCTTCAACCTGCCAATACGACCCAGTTCTCTCATTATGGGATATCTTTTGCCTGACAAATGCAGGCTCTGCTGATGTCAATAAATATGTTTTAGCCCTGTGCCTGTTCAGGTAGTTTTCTGAACTTTAAAACAGCTTCCTAAAATCTGATGCCGCCTTCCATGACGGCACTCAGAGAAATGATGGTGTTTACTGCTAATGTATGATAGCTACTGAACAAATGGAAACAGCCTTCAGTAATCCATTGAACTGTTCGCTGAAGGCTAAGATCAGTCAGTCAGTCTCTCTTAATTAGGCAGCTACTTTATGAATATTCCCCCTGACGCACACTTTGCACCCAGGTGTCCTGCTGTGTCTGCCTGTCCGCTTAATCTCAAAAACATTGTACATAACACAGAAGTGAAAGAACATCTGTCTTAAAAAATGACACACACCCACACAGGATCTATCTCCCACACATAAATGAACAGCATGCACGTTTGATGGTTAAGTTCATGGGAAATGATAGGATAACAGTACACGATCAGATACAGCAAATCAGAGATACACAAAGGGAAAGCCAGAGGGGCAAAGGGACACATGGAAAGAGGAAGCATGTAAAAGAGGTAGGACAGATTGATAGTTTGACAGCATCTGCAGACAGGCAGAAAGCAGCCTGTCAGGTGAGGAGGGGTAGAGCCCAGTTATTGCTCCTTCTGAGCTGACCCGCTGCACTTTGTCATTATGATGGACAACACTGGCACAGGATAGTAAGTTCAACAGTGTGGTTTATACAGCATTTCCTGCTTACAAAATACCCCAAAATACAAGCACGAGTGGAGTTGAGTGTTAGTGCGTGCATGCATGCAAATCAGGGATGGCTGCATGTGTGTTAGCATGCAACGGGCCTCATTAATCCACATTTCTGCAGGACAGTTGATACACAATAATGATGAATTAAGGGCTAACACTCTCTGTTATACTGTGAAATAATAACACATACAGTAGTTGACGCCCTTTACAGTTGATTCACTTTTCATACAATCTGCATTGTGTAATGAACGAAGCCCTTTGTGAGTATGTTAGTGGAAGTACAAGCAAATGCATGTTTCTGAGAGTGTCCCTGCATGCATGTAATCTGCAACAAAACATCATGGTTGTGTTTGTGCCAAAAAGTGTTTGTCTTGTATGTGTGTCAGTTTGTGTATTCAGGTTCAGGCAGAAATTGGTTTTGCACAACAAACACTGGTAAAAAAAAACATCCTGTGTGTGCATGTATGTGTACTTACTGGCGTCTATTGTATATTTTGACATATGTGTATTTATGTATAAGAAAAGTAGATTTCATCCTGTGTTAAATTATTTAAAATCTACTTTATTTTCATCCAACACCTGGGGTTATATTTACCAAACATCTCAGAGGACAAAATCAGGCTTAATGGACCAAAACCTCTTAGAATGATCCATATTCAGTCCCACTTTCAGGCAAAGGGGTAAAAGCATTTTGAAAATCAAGTTTTTCACCATTTTCTATGATTGCTCCATCTACAAATCTGTGTCCAGCACATTTTTAAATTTAAATGTATTTGACAGGAAGAATCTGATTTGGGTGCCTCACATCTGTGACAGCACTAATGTATTTCGGAGCTTCAAAGCTGACCTGGTTCTTTCCCACCACTGAACATTGGAATAAAACGAGACTTAAAAATCCTGGAATATTTTTGAATTATGAGCGTAGCCATTGGTAAGATGTCCTGACTGAACACGGCAACTTAACCATGTCGTTTTCCAATAGACGGTGCATACTCTGCAATCAGTTGATATCTCAGTCTGGCTGCTTTGTGGATGACTGTAAGTGCTGCCCTCTTTCTCTAACTGTACACAGCTGTCAAGCAAAAAAAAAACAGATTCACCTGCGACTTTGATCAAAGGAACGTTTATTTGCTAGAAAAACTATGTTCTTGGGTGCATTTTTTAAATGACATTGTTAAAGCGGTAATAAAAGCATCTAGCCACATGGTTGCTAAAATGGCCCTAACCCAACACAGGGGTGTTTTTTTTATTATTAAAAGGTTTCATATTCTAAGGCGGAAGTATATTTAAGTGCAACAAAGTGACTTACAGTAGAGATTCTGACATGTTTGATCAACATTGGCCTCCAGGTTGGTCCAGTAAAACTCAGTGGGGAGAAACTGTCACTAAAAATGATCATGTTAAAATGTGTGTCTATTTATAGCACTGTGGATAGTCGTGTCAGCCAACTGTTTGGAAAGAAAAATGGATGCTTGTGGTTCAGTTTTTCTTTGTAACTTCAAACCACAAGGATGGATTTAATATCTGGGGTTACTGGCCTCAACAGGTGTGTGTGTGTGTGTGTGTGTGTGTGTGTGTGTGTGTGTGTGTGTGTGTGTGTGTGTGTGTGTGTGTGTGTGTGTGTGTGTGTGTGTGTGTGTGTGTGTGTGTGTGTGTGTGTGTGTGTGTGTGTGTGTGTGTGTGTCGCATATATGGGTGTTTTCATTCAGGTCATGGTGGTACCTCTTGTGGGTGGCCCTTGCAATCTCTGCAGATGGGTGGAGGAGAAGAATAATGGTGGAAGACAGAACCGGAGAGGTTGTCGATCATCAGCATCTCCCCCTCCAGTGAATCCTTGATCAAGAGAGATACGCTGTCCAGCCATTGGCTCTCCTGGAACACATACACACACACCCACACACAGACATACACACGGACACATACACACGGGACGCAGGCCAGCAGACCAGTATTGCACGCAGGTGCCAACAGGTGCACATGCGGACATGCGAGGACAAAGAACACGCAGGGAAATGCATAAACATCGTAAGAGTTAGAATTATGTCAGTGTGCACACGCAGGTATGCTGTTACACTTTATGAACTCACAGACAAATGCACACAGTCACACATGCATATACACCCCCACACATGTAGATTTCACATTGAACAATTTCAAAAATTCCCCCAAAAAAGAAAAAGAAACCTTCTCAAATGTGTTTTCTGTGTCTGAGATCAAGTACAAACAAACCACAACGAATCCCTCTTTGATAATCTGTCGGGCTTAAGGGCTAAACACTGCTCTCTTTTGAAAAAGGCTCCTCAATAATATGAATTCAAACCCTCATTAGCCAGTAACACATCATTTTACTATTAAAGCCTTCAGCACTGCATGTGGTGCAATTACATTTGATATATCACCTCAATTAGGCTGTTCAATACCTTATTGAAACAATTTAAGATTTAAGCATTTGCTTTGTGCTCTGGGTTTTATTAGGTTTAAAGCAATTTAGACTGAATCAGTCAGGGTTTTTACTGTGACTTAAATGATACCTCCTTGCTTGAATCTCATCTGCCAGATTGTTTTTTTCTCAGAAACCAATCTGGCACACAAAGAACTACTGACAGCAAAAGGAATATACTTTTAGAAGTGATTTCTGTGTTTCTTGGCCAGGCATCGTATTTGACAATGTATTCGTTGCATTGTGCCTGTGGCGCATTCACAACAGCCAAAATAACTGTATTACATCAGCAGATATATCCCAAAAGGTACTGTGAAACAAGGTCACTCCTCTTCAACCCCCACACATGCCTATTTTCATAACACATTTCTACAACACAGATTACAGGACTATACTTAGATATCTTATGCAAACACACATTTTTGACTCATGCTGTTATATTACAATCACTCATGGCTTGTGTTTTGAGGGGGCTACGAATTCAAGAGATAAGTAACTGTACTCCCAGCTATATATAAATATACCTACACCGTGCTGGTTAATGAAACAGTGTTGCAGTGCCACCATTTATTAAAAGACAAACTGGCAGTACGGCTGATGCTGCCATATCCAGCTCTTAAATACATGTATTTAAATTAAAAGGGCGTTTTTTCTCTCACACACACATACATACATTCTGTGAAGGTGGGGAGCTTGATATAAAAAAAATATTTTTGATTGACTGTAGTGGCCTATGTGCTGGCCTCCATTAATAACTGTATTAGTGGACAACAATGGGCCCGTCTACAGGGAATGGGAGTTGAGAGAGAGAGAGGAGAGAGCTGAAATTAATTACTGCGTCTATCTGACTGTCACTGGCTCAGCTATTATCTCTCCTCTCTTACTCTCTCTGTGTCGACTTCCTACAGTGTCGCCTGTAGTCCCTGTGCAATATATTACTACTGTTTCACCAGGGAGTCGAAAAATGACTTTTTCAGAGTGTATGATGGCATATTATAGAATGTTCTAGTTGCAGCATGGGCTGGACCAAAGAGTTACACACTTTGAAGATTCGTTCATAGCATTGACAACTAAATGCTGCGTATTTAATATTTATAAATAGTTGCAGAAGTAAAGTATTAAACTGTTTTTAGAATTTGATTCCAATGTTGGCTGCATTTCCAATATTTCCAGAGTGTTGTTAACTTCTCCAGATGTTATCATTTTTCCAAAATGCACAACAACATGTTTATATCTAACGAAATACCCAGCACTCCCTTCTAAATCTTTCAAAAACATTTTCACTGCGGTCAACAAAATAATTGCTGTACCTTTCTGAGGTGCACATGAAGGGAGGGACACACTGATGAGTGATATATATGAAAAATAGTTGATTTATATAAAAAAAACTAGGTAAAAAGTTCATTTTTAGGGTGATCATGCATTCCAGCAGGAGATGCTGCTGCTAATATTTGGACAGTATGTTGAGATTCAAATAATATAATAGCGGCACAGCAGATTTAAACATTTTTGGGTTTCTGTAAACTTCCTCGCAAGTTCTCGACACACACACACACACACACACACACACAGACACACTCTCCAACCCCAGGACCTGTGCTCTGAATAAATTGCATCGGTCTGCGAGGCCCCTTATTGCATCACTCGAGAGACAGAGGATGAGCGGGGGAGATAGAGAGAGAGATAGGGAGAGGGGGAGGGTGCTGCCAGTGTTTTCTCCACGGTCTGTATTACGTTGGTTTGTCACGCTGAGCTAAAAATGACTCCATGCAGCCAACTTTAGCTCTACACAGGTGAGACTCTTCACGGCAGCCGGTGAGTCATCTTTATGTGTGTTCCTGCGTGGATATCTCAGACTATTTTCAGCTATTTCATAATGGAAGCTTGTGCCTCTGCTGTCAGACTGCAAGTAGAAATGAGAGACCTATCTACTTTCCAACAGTGATGCAGGCAGGGAAAGGATGATTTCAAAAATGTAACGTCTGCATGTGCGTCTGCAAGATGAAAAGGTGTCATGAGAGTACTGAAAGGTTGATGAAGCTTAAATGAATAGAAGATTGATCAAAATGAGATTAAAGTTGCTATAATCTCAAAAACGTACTTTCATCTGCTTAATATCGCTTAAGAAGTTTGTTTTCCTTTTAGAAAATGCCTTTCATTTCAGGCCTTTTACTTTCATATGAATTGATTTCTTAATATGTTGCTCTTGTTCAACGTTGCAAATAAGGCGCAGCTTGGTGTCTCTTTCCTTTTTATCTCTCTTTTCTTTGTATCTCCTCTCTTTGTGTAGATGTTTAACCTTCCTTACACCCTTTCCTCCCTCACAAGATGTGTAAAAGAAAAGAAACAAAAGTAGAAAAAGAATATTACAAAGAGATTGATAAAACGCCTGAGTGTAATCACGGCAAGTCGTCGCCAGTCATTTTCACAAAAAGAAAAAAAATCTTCACTCTCTCACCCGTCAGCCACATCCAGACACGACTCAGAAATTACTGCCATATTGTTGACCTCTTTTGTATTCTTCCAGTTTTTGAATCAAATATGTAATTTTCTCTGCATGATGCAAGGCATTGATACCGTGTAAAGAGAAGCTACTGTAACTGACAGGCAGCCAGAGGAGCGGAAAATAATATCCAGCTGATACTGCGTCTGAACAAAACTCATATCATTCTACATAATACCGCTGCACACTGGGTCTACATTACACATATTAAAGTAACTCTAATACAATTATAGGCAATTTATATAGGTTTATTTTCATTTAAAAACTGAATCTCTAGGCATCAAGAAAATCTGCAATGCGTCGTGCTAATTTCCTATTTTCGATTATATAATGTATATGTTTTATAAATATAATGTTCCTGGTTCCAGTGTCAGACTGGACAATGCAGGAAGGTTTCTGTGTATTTTCTTATTACAAAGACATTTGAGGCATAATCCACATGGGAAGAAAAGCTAAACAATTGAACATGATTTAAAGGTAGGGTAGGAATTTGAAAATACACAACCGGAGAAAATCTGCCCCTTCCTTCAGACTTCCTTACAGAGCCCCTCCTCCAACACACACGAACGCGCACATGACCAATGAGGGCACGAGATAAGTTTGTGCACAGATGGAAGGCTGACAGGCAGGTAGGCCATCCAGTTATTTTAGCCGGGCTGGCTAAAATGATTTTTTAATGGATTTTTTGTCAAAGCACTTAAGATATTCATTGCTATCGGGATGTTAAGAGCATTCCATGGAATATAACAAAAAGTGTATCTCGAGCCGGTTTCTCAAACTTACCTACCCAACCTTTAATTGTTTTTTTTAAGGTTATTCTACAAACACCTTAATGTGACATTATATAAAAAAGTGCTGGCCACTTTAAGCGTCCGGAGAACCATAGCTGGAATACATCTGGGACATTAGAAAAGAAAACAATTGAAATAAATCAATTAAGACTTGTATGGCCAATGCATATCCATAATAATGTATTCTATCCTGCAAATCGGTTTGATACATCCCTACTTGCACACACGCACACTCCCACCCACCCACATCAAAAAGGGACTTTGACACTCTATGGAAACAAACATAAATAAATCATCACACTCTCTCCCACACACATGTGTACTGAAATACAAACACTCACTTGTGCTGGTGAGTACAGGTTGAGGCTGGAGTCCCGCAGGTTGAAGGCTCCTGAGTGCGTGCTGCCTGCTGAATGTCTCATCTTCCTCTCCCCCTCCCCCCTCTCTCTGGTCACACATCCTCTGTCTTTTGCCCCTGCTGGGCCTCCAAGTCCTTTATCCACCTTCCCCCCCCCCACAGCTGGGGGCGCCCATGCAACAGAGGGTGCCCTGGGCCAGCTCCAGCTCAATTTCTGCATCCATCTCCGCCTCCTCTTGGGCCTCCTTGTTGGAGTCGTCCAGGTGCTTCATCAGCACGGCCACCACCACATTGATGAGCACGAACTGGGCGGTGAGCACGAAGGAGACAAAGTACATGGGCGAGATAAACTGAAGGCTAGGATTGCAGGCATAGTCCACATCAGTGGCATTGTCCACATCAGTGCCGTGGTCTGGTGGGCACTCCCGCAATGTGTCCTGTAGTCCAAAAAGGCAGAAGAGGAAGACAAAGGGGTTGGTTAGGAGACAGGTAAGCGTTAAGGCAGCAGTTCCCAACCTTTTTCAAATCAGGGCCCACTTAAGAATCTGAAAAAATGTTGCGGCCCACATTCAACCATAAACATTACGGAGGCAAAAAAAAGTTCCGATCAATCAAAAGTTCAATTCAGAACATGTGACAAGTTGTCAATCCAGTAGAACAGACTGCTGTCAAGGACTGCAATGGCCGTTGCTAAGGAGGATCAAGAAAGAGAAAGGAAAGGCGGTTTAAAAAAAAAAAGAATCGTAATAATGAAATGTTTCCACACAAATCATAATGTTTTGCTAATTATTTGGCGGCTGCCCACTTGCAATGCCTTCGCGGCCCACTAGGTTGGGAACCGCTGAATTAATTAAGGAATACCACATCATTTGGATAAAACTTTGTGACGAAACAGGAAGTGGACAAAATAACAGGAGTAGATTCAATCTGGAGTGTGGAACTTCTGAATCGGATGCACCATATACAAAACCTCAGCGTTTAGAGGAAGGACTTTAGGAGAGGGCTACTCCTGGCAATGGAAATGCAACACACTCAGTTAGTACATAATGTTTCCAGGTGAGTTTGGTTGTGTCGTATATTGCAAAATACAGAGAGCTTCCTCCGCTTAGTTATATTATGTATATTAATTTGACAAGGGCTACAATGTAATGGACAATCATTTTTATGTAAAAGTATTTTCAAATGTAAAAGTGCCACACTCCAGCTTTAAAATATATTTAAATTAATACAGCGGCCCTGCAACAGATTACAGTTATTAACATTTACATTGCTTGAATAATAATAAAAAACAAGCGAAAAATAAGTCAGGTTGTAAATGTCATCTTACGATACAGTGAGCTTAGCCGAAACACGCCTGAATAAATATTGATGCTCATATAAAAATATGTTAAGTACATTTAAGGTAATGGCATGCCTCAAGCTCATGTTAACAAGGCTCTTTGTATTCAGGACAACTTGTAAAATTATCATACACTTAATTGCTTTGCTTCTATGCAAAACAACAGGAGCCTTTTTTTTCTGTGTTTAGCATTTTTCTGTGTTTAGCATTTCTCTACGCGCTCAGCAGAGTTTGGTCAAAGTAGAATAAAAGTGACATGTGCTATCTGGAGGAATAACACATATTTGAACCAGTCTCTGACCTTAAATAACAATGTTAGCCCTCTGAGCTGAAGATGGTCTTTCCTATCTTATTTTGCATGACATGTACACACTGTGCACGACATCTCCTTCTGCTTCCACTCCTTTTCCATCTCGTTTCTACACATTATTCCTCTTCCAAATCTCCATGTACCCTCACACGTGATGCTGTACCCCCCCCCTTTTTTCAATTTTTGCTGTAATTTACCCTCTGGAGGAAATAAATCATAACTGGTCAGTTCTTTAAGCCCCTTCCCATCCACTCATCTTCCCTCTTATTACAGTTTGCCAGTGCCTCCTTTTTCTCCCCACTGCTTTCTTACACTCTCCCTCATTATTTCCTCCTTCCTATCATCGCTGCATGACTAATTACCACTCTGCCTCACCGGCCTTTCACTAAACCACGGCAGATCTACCTATCCCACATCCCAGGTAGTCATTTGACAGCGAAAACGACAGAGATTTACTCAGAGAGGGAGCATCTGTAGCCCGCTGCTTTGCTTCATGGCCCGCTACCATCCGCTCTACCTTCATGTATGCAGTGTGTGTTTAATGGCCCTACGACATGCATCATTATAATCTCTCTTTTCTCCTTGGAGCTTACATGAGAGCATGGTGGGGATCGCTGCTGCTGCTGCTGCTGCTGCTGGTAGAGCGGTGTGTTCAGGGGAAAATTGTTTTTTTGTGTTTATGTGTGTGCGATGAGGCACAGTTACTCCCCTGCCCATCAGTAAGGAAATCTGTGCTCACGTTGCTGAGCAAGCACATTTGCTTTTCATCAGTGGGTATCACTAGAGTGGAAGATGAGAGAGTGTGTCTCTTATCTCACACCACCTTTCCACTACTTTTTTGTTGCACTACTTCTACTATAACAACGTTGTAAAATAAAAGCATGCAATATATGTTGTTACGATGGCTGCTACTTCATTACATTTTACATGTTCTACTTACATTTATAATACTGCTACTTATCTTTTTCTACCTTGAATGCATCCCTTTTTCAAATTGAATTAACCTGTGCTTGGCTCTTTTTTTAAAACAGTTAGTTTTGATGTCTTTATCTGTATTGTCCCTGTTGCTTTGTATATTTCCCCTGTGTTGGTCAATAAAGGGATTTGATCGATTCTGTTTCACTGTATTCTCAAGCTCTGATTTTGCCTGTTAAAACACAAATGATAAGTAAGTAACTTCGTACCTTCATGATGCCATTCCAGTTGTCGCCCGTGGAGACTTGAAATAAGGTAAGGAAGGCCATGCCAAAGTTCTCAAAGGTAGCGTGACGACCCATTCCCTCGCATGGATAGTCTACGGTGCATACTGAGGATGAGAGTTAGATGGACGGGTGGATGTAGAAAGAGGAGGAGTCATCATGTCATACAAAAGGAAAAGGTGAGAGGATAAAGAAAAAGCGAAAATGGAACAGGAAGGGGGGAAAGGGTTGACAAAAGAAGAAGAGATTTGTGAATTTTGAATAACACTGTACATGTCACTGCTCCCCAAAAAACGCAGAGGCAAGCACCATTTGTGACGCTAAGCTGACTGTCTAAACAAGCCAACTCAGTGTAGACAAAGTCTGTTATCAAATCGGTCGCAACGTGACCAAACACTCTATTTGTCTTTGAGTTTATATCCCAAGATAATCTCTGCAATGGCCTCAAGAAGCAACACTTGCATTTGCCACTAATCCGTTTTTCCTGCCAAGCTCCAATAGGAAGCATCGTTGCCACGGGCTGCAGCTGCAGCTCACAAGGGAAATGTGACAGTTCGGAAGAAATATCTTCTTACTTCAATGTGGATATTTTAGGACGGCACTTATGTATCAGAATACTGGAGAGTGGGTTGAATCCCCTAATGGCAGTCTGACTGCAGGAGGGAGAACTGATGAAAGGGAATACAAGATGGAGAGGAAATAAGGAGATTTTCCTAATCAAGTTAATACAACTCCTCTTGATTTTATGTGTACAAGCGGAGTTTACTATAATGAGCACACGGAATATGGAAGTCACAATTATATTTTCCCACTGGGTCGGACTCTGAAACATGCTGCTTTGTAACCGCCTCACACCGACAGTGATGATGTGTGGCAAATGTGCTCTTCCACTACAGCGCTATCCTGTCCTCTCAAAATTTCCACATGTGATGAAGGATTAATCCAACAAGTGGACTGAGTTTATATAGATGACCACATAATACACATTTCTCTGAAGTTTAACTCATCCACTGTGAAAGGAAAGATTGGTCCAACAATGCTGTTAATCCTTTATCCAAACAGAATGTTGGTTGACATATTCAAATACATTTTTCACAATAAATCAATATATCATAATAGTGTCAATAAGTGATTTTGTCTTTGTTGTACCTCGTGCTAGTGACATGTGTCTGATCACAAATACATGTAACATCCTTGGTTCTCTCGAGCCTTTAATAGACTCTTTCTAGAAACTACCAAAGATCAAGGAAAGAATATATAGATTTGCAGTGAAAAACAAAAACGTTGTTATGAAATAGATTTGTGCTTAATGACACATTTCTTTTCAGCATCATGACTGGATGCCATGAGTACTCACCAAGTTCTCCAAATAGCTCTACTCCTAAGGCGGCGTAGATGAAAAACAGCAGCATGAAAAGCAGGCCCAGGTTACCCACCTGTACACACACACACACACGCACGCACACACACACACACACACACACACACACACCACACACACACACACACACACACACACACACACACACACACACACACACACACACACGCAGACAGGAGAACATCTTACCATGCACATGTTATAAACAATTTGACATGTTCTTTGTGAGAAGCATTAGACAACAAAACACATCAACAAGTCATTGCTCATGTGCTAAATCAGCCATTGACTTGCTTGCTATGCTCGATTGAACATCATTTGACCACATTTTTCATTATTACTCAAGATCATATTGTACTACTTTAAAACAAGTAAGCAGGACATCACATGCAAGGTGGTGTAAAATATGTGCATTCAAAATGTCAAACCTCTTTCTAGCATGCTGTTCTCAAACTATTCTTTGTTCTGCAAACCATGGCACCATTTCCTCCGAGACTTTTTATAAACTGGAAGCCCTGATGCTGTTGGCATTTTCTGAGTTTGGGGGTTTGGGACTTGGCTCGGTTCCACCACTAAACAACCTTCTGTTACCACAACCTAATGGTGATGTTGATGTTGCACGGTAAGCACTCTGGGCCAAATCTAATCCCATTACAGGGATTCAAAACCCAGTCCCCTATTCGCTGTCTTTACCACTCCACTAACAACACTGCTCAGCCGGGAATGAGCAAACGCACTGACAAATAGTTACTATAATTATAACGCATGTGCTCTAAAGAGGGTTTAGATCCCTTCACCTGCTTTTCAGGGGAAAGACCGTTCCAATCTGTTGTCGAGTTGGTTGAGGGAAAATGCAGAAACATAATGACAAGGCAAAATCTAAGGACATTTCCCATAGGTTGCACCGCAAATAATGCTAATTTAATAACTTATGATGAGATATCGTTTGAAGCAAGCAGGGTTGTAATAATTTCTCTATTATACTCAAGGTTGTTTTATCTTTGTTTGTTTCATCTCTCCTTGATAAATCACTTTAATGATAACATAAGGAAATCAGCTGACTCAGTAAGAATAATCTTTACATTTTAAACGCTTTAACCCTCATTGCCTGATATGATTAACCTGGTCAGTATTGCATTTAATGAAACTGCTATAGGGCATGGTGAAAGAGGACAAATCAAAGGCATGCTACATTAAGTAGCATTTACATTTGAAAACTTCTAAAGTTTCCTTTCAATGTAGACAAATAAGGGCCATTACATGCGGCGCACGCTGATGAGTCCCTGTGGACTGAGTGTAATTGTGGTAATTGCCATATAACCTTTCAGTTGGAGTGCTGTAATAATTCTAAATGTGACTCTTTGCCAGAAGTACATCTCCAAGTAATTGCTATGAGGCCTGGTGTACTCAACAATCTGTGCTTGATAATGACACGAGTCAATGTGAGATCCAGGATGAGGATGAATGCATTTTGAGACGTTTTGCCAAGAGGGATTTAATGGTGTATTCAATGGGGATGAATAACTTTCCCTTTACTGGAGGAAGAGGTTTGCAATTCAATTTTCTATTATTGAAATGATTTATCTCCATTTCTCAAGCTAAAATACTTGTTATAGCTTGGACGCCTTTCCATAGCACAAATGGCATTTCATGTGGTCTCCACATCTGTGGTTTCTCAGCCATTTCCAGAGAAGACATAAAACAACTGTCTCCACTTAGAGCCAACAGGATATAGGCTATTAGTGTAAGTGAATGCTGGTTGCAGCCGTTTCACATCAGTTGCAGAGGAGAGGATAATAGACATTGTTGTAGGTAAAATCACATTTTAACTACGTCTTTGTAAAGCAAAGCCATTTCACTTAACATGTCAATGAGCCGATAAGCTTTCTACCCCATTTAGTCTAAGTGCATGGATCCCTCATTACATCTCCATGTCCTGCTATGGCATATTAAATATTAGAATTACTTGTGGAACTTGTGAAGCATTCACATCATGTCTAATCTCATGAGTTATTATTCTAGCAGACATCTATCTGTGCGTGCCAAGATTATTCATACTTTCTGCCTTCCTATGCCAATATGACCTGTTCCCTTGCGTAACTGTACCCATAAGCCTTTGTTGAAATGTCAATACTGCCAATGTGATGTAATGAGGAAATGTTGGAAGCTTGCCATTTCATTTTTCACAGTGAAATATAGGGTGATATCAGCTCAGGTTAATCTCTCGCCAGGTGTAATGCCTTCACTCTCACCTCAGTATGCACCCATACACACAGAGAGACCTCCTGGAACTGTTTAATTAGCCCCAGTTTTAATTACCTTCCCAGATGCCCTTGGGATAAAGCAAAGGGCTCAGTGTTAATGAGAGGGGGATCACTAAAAAGGAAATACAATGAATCTGTTCCTCCTCACCTCTGCCTGCCCTCCTTTCCCCACACCACCTGTTTCCCTTTGTTTGCTTCATGTCACTTTTGATGGTCAATGGGTCACACTGTGTTCCTGCATGTCCATAAATGACCTGTCTGTCCAAACAACTGCCTGTATTTAAAGTCAAATGTCTACATTAAATGCACAATATGTAATTTTGTGCCACTCGGGGCCTTTCCATACAAACAAATAACAAAAGCCAGGGTTCGGTGTTGTTGTGCAAAAACATGTGATTATAGGAGATTGTAGTCAGCTTTTCTAGTGTTTAAAACCAGTGAAAACACGACAAAAACAGGTTTCATTTTAATATCAGTGTTTTGTTGTGTCTGCCTACTGCTAATGTTTGCTCCGCTTGTTTCACTAATACTTGACAGCCACTCGGCCTACTGTATGACGAATGGAATCCTTAATCTAGTTCAAATATACAGTTGAAAATATAGAAGATCTAAAAGTGTGGCTTAAAACTAATCAATTTATGACATTTTCTTGCAGACAACGCTGACTAATGAAAAAAAGAATTTCCTTGATTAAGATTATAGATTTCTCTTGGTCTGAAAATTGTTTAAAACATTTAGGAATGTAAGTTCACAACTGAGCAAAAATATTTTCCATAAACCTATTTGTTTTGATACATTTTCTAGCAGAAAAGTTACATATGATTTCTAAACAAATGGGAAATGATAGGATGCTTTTTGTGTATATTTTTAGGAAATTGAACTTTCAGTGCACTGGAACGATCTGGGACGGCCTAGAGACTGCCCGACTCTGTGGACACTTCACCATCAACTGAACTATAGACTGGTTTAAGAAGCCCCCGCTGTTTCTAACACACTGCGGACGCAGCGGGGGTCAGGGTACTCTCCATGGTGCTGAAAGTGAAAACAAGACAAAGCCAGTGTGTGTGTGTGTGTGTGTGTGTGTGTGTGTGTGTGTGTGTGTGTGTGTCAGTCAGCCAGTCTGTGGCATGAAGGAGTCATCTATTAGAGTTGCCTCCAGGCCAAAAGAGAAAGAAAGGGTGGTGGTGGGGGGGGGGTCATGCTACTCTGGCTATTGACTGAGACTGATCAACTCTCTCTATGGGATTGTGTGTGTCTGTGAGGAACAAAGAGGCAGAGACAGTGTGTAAGTGTGTGTTACCTGAGGCAGGGCTTGGACCACCGTATCCAAAAGGGCTCTCATCCCTGTGGCCATCTTCAGCAGCTTCAGCACTGTGTGTGTGTGAGAGAGAGAGAGAGAGAGAGAGAGAGAGAGAGAGAGCGAGAGAGAGAGAGAGAGAGAGAGAGAGAGAGAGAGAGAGAGAGAGAGAGAGACATAGAGAGAGAGATAGAGAGAACGTGTGGGCAGTTAGGGGGAAATCCCTCAGGTTCAATTACAGGCTTAATGGGAAACATTTAACTGGAGAAAGGTCAGTTCTTCATTTATTCTCCCATGGAACACACACACACACACACACACACACACACACACACACACACACACACACACACACACACACACACACACACACACACACACACACACACACACACACACACACACACACCACACACACACACACACACACACACACACACACACACACACACCACACACACACACACACACACACACACACACACACACACACACACACACACACACACACACACACACACACTCAAACTGCCCAGTCATTGGCTGCTATGCAACTGACCTGTAAAAGTAGATCGCAGTTTCAACAGATATATTTTAACACACCAGCAAGACAAAATCAAGGTTCTGATGTATTTCACTGAAAACAATTAAAAGGACATTTGGACTTGTGAGCATGGGCCCACAGATATACAAAAAAGGCAAATAGGCTGTTGCTCAGGAAACTTTAGCCCGGGCCTTTGCACATGCCTGCTTTTCAGTGAATGTGTGTGTGTACATATTTCACACATGTAGTATACTGTACCTCGGGCTATCCTCAGTACTCTCATGATCCGGATGATGGTGGGGTTGATGGGCAGGGCAGCACTGATCTCGATCTCCTCCAGGGTGATGCCCATCACCGACAGAAGCACAATGGCGAGGTCCAACTGGTTCCACCTAGCGTTCACACACACAGAAAGTATGCACATGTAAATATGCAAAAAGGTCTGGCACCACACACAAAAACCAAAGCAAGTATGAAAACAAGTTTCTAGGCATGTCAGTGCTGTGTAAACTAAATAACGAGGCATGCATTTATTATCAGTTATGTTAAGGCATTTGAATCTCCTTTAACAGCTACCAGTGATGCTATGCCTCGGCCCCAAAAGTCCTTACAGCAAAATGCTTGTCAAGGCTTAAGGACGGACGGAAAACAGATATAGCCAAATCAGATGAATGTGGTGGGGAATCAAAGAGATTGAAGCACCCATAGTAGTTGCAACATCTCCATTAAGAACATATTTTGACCCGATGTAACTAAGTCACTTTTGCTCGGTGTTCATCTTTTATTGCCTCTCGTAATTGCTTCAGGAGGTTCTGTAGTCCTCATTCATCTTCAGCATTTTTTGGAAGATAGTCAATACACGTCTTTGTGGAAATCATCAGGGTGGCAACATTTGGCACCGCTGATTCATTTGTCAGAATGCTTGCCAAAATATCTCATTTAAAATGCCAATGACAACAGTGAAATAACCCGCAAGACACGATAATGTCTCTGTTAATGGGGCTATATGTCTGTTTTTTTACACCTTTTCTTTCTGGACTCATCCACCTAAGCGGAAGAAAAAGCAAAGTGTCTCATCCTCTATGAATGTAGCCATACAGTCAACTGAGGATGACAGCTGCCTTTGTTCATATTTACAATACAATGCTGCTTTATTACTTGATCAAAGTCATACAGACAGCAGCTCACCTGATAGAAAAGCACCCGTTACTCATTTCAATTGACATTTGAATTTCATATCTCCGCAGCTGTCAGCCTTATTACTTTTTGGCCTGTCACACAAACTTTTACATTATATATACACTGCACACTTACACCAGCCGCAGCTCAGTCATTGCCACATGTACTGTAGCAGTGTGTTTGTGTGTAACCTGCTATTCCATTGACCCAGTTCTGCAGCTGGCCTGAGAGTCACCCCGGCCCATAAATGACACACAATGACTGCTCACAGCTGTTGCTAACACTACATAAAAAGAGACAAAGTGCCAGCTGATAACCGTGCGATAAATGTGTCCTATATCCGCCCATCTCTTTCCCATTTGATCACTTATGTGTCTCCCTCCTTTTTTTTTGTCTTTGATCAGTCCAGCTTCCCCTCCTATTTATTATCCATCTCTTCCACGTCGCTCCTCTTCTCTCTCGCCACCTTAACTCTCTCTCTTCTCTAAAACTAAAATAAGCCAATGACATTAAACTACCATCAGTGTAATATATGCTTCCAAATCTTCTTCTGACTTTAATTAGTCCCCACATATCCCTGAGAAGAATAAGAAATCCGTCTCGGCGTTGTGCACATTTGGGTGAGTGACAAATCAATTAGTCTCTGGGCTCTGAGTGAATGAATGTGGGAGGGAACAGGCCGGCGCTGAGGTGCGTTTCCCACGAAGGTCAAACAAAGGTGAGTACAGTAAGTTGGAGAAATGGAAAGTGCAGTGTCACAAGCAGAGCACCCATACATAACTTGGTTTCTTTAAGCACAATGGTGGTATAGTTCACCCAGTAGCTTTTTACAAGGAGAAAGAATTGTCCTATCCATTTTGAAAGATGTACATTTTGAAAAAAGGGAATGAAAAATGTAAATAAAGAAAGCTGTTTGTGTCTTACTGTGACAATGAGGATAATAATGTGTGATAACTGTCAAGATATTTTTACCACAATATGGTTTCGCTAAGTTCTTCTAACTGAACGCCTCAGAGCCGCTCGCATCTTTCAACGTGTTTCATAATCCTCTGTATCGTCAAAGCTGTTATTCCCTATTCCATTTATAATGATCAAAGCAAAAGGCGGATTTGTGCAGCCATTACTCTTTGAACTAAATAGCTGTTTATTATGGCACTATTTATATTATACGTTAAGTCACCAGATTATGGGATGTGCCTGGAGCCCCGACAGTGGCTCCAATATGTTTCATTTCCACATCAAACATGTGATGAGTGAGCTGAGCTGAACAGGAGATATTGTCATGTTTGCTGACATTGAATATTGTTTTGTAATATTCGTCTTTCTCGCATCTAATCCAGAGGGCATTTGTGTTTTCAGGCTATAGGAAAGCTGATTGACAATCATCACGCACCGTCACCTCTGAACCTCTGCTGCAGATTTACAAAAATCCCACAATTAATTGATCAGTATTGCTATAAAAAAGCTGTCTTGTATTCTTACTATACATGTGTAAATACATAGTACTACAAATACGCACGTACATACACTTATAGGCACACAGAAAAGGATACACACACACACACACCACACACACACACACACACACACACACACACACACACACACACACACACACACACACACACACACACACACACACACACACACACACACACACACACACACACACACACACACACACACACACACACACACACACACACCCACACACACACACCCACACACACACACACTGTACCTTTCTTTAAAGAAGCGACGGAAGCCGAAGGCGGTGAGTTTGAGTGCCGATTCGAGCACAAACATGGAAGTGAAGAAATAGTTGCAGTACTTCAGGGCGAGATCCAGAGACTGCAAAGAGAGTGTGAAAAATGTGTAGGTGTGTGTGTGTGTGCGTGTGTGTGCGTGTGTGTGCATGTGCGTGTGTAAACAGGGTAGGATGGAGTATTAGCGTCAGGAGGAAACTGAATGGCAGGAATAGTTCCCATTGTTTGCAGAGTCCAATCAAACATGCCAGAAGGCAAAACAGGACATCTTCCATTCGTGGAACAACAAACACTCATGCATTACATCCAGTAACAAATACGCCAACCATATTTTAGCGTAGTATTTAAATAGTCCGAAGGCAAGCATGTTTAATTATCTTAAACACCCAGCCCAGCTTCCTGTTACTGCAGAGGCTGTGGATTTGTTTTGCTTAGCTGTTTTCTCCTTCAATAAACAGAGCTGTGTCTTCTAAGAAGCGGGAGGCAGGCAAATGTCAAGACAAACAGCTGACAAATACCGTCAAGACCTGTGATATTTATCTGATGCTCGGTCAGTTTTGAGAAAGCTTGCTCCATTTTAAATGTCAAACGGCCATCTTGTCTCAAGGATAATCACTTTCCTCACCCTAAAAAAAAACCCCCACAACCAACGCTATCAGGCTTTTGAACCTTCATTCATCACACATGAATGGACAGATACGCGTACGGCTAACACCGCTCTGACAGAATAGAGTCAACAGTGCAATCACAGCTCCTTTGTATGGACTCCAGCTAACACTGCCTGGTTACAGCGTCATGGTGGTACCACTGTGTCTTTAGAAGAAGCTGCTGTTTGACAGACATTAATACTCAGCATCCAGGAATAAGTCCCTCCTACTGAGATGGAGCTTGTCGGAGTCCTTCTGTTTGTGTCGACATTTTGTGAAACAGGCACTTTTGGGAAAGTCAGAGCTAAGTTGCACAAATCTCTAATTACTGACATACATTCAAGTTGCTTCTCCTCATTTATCACCCCCACACACATAACTACTCTAGTGGACCAGTGCCAGCTGCTGCACTCCCTAAACAAGACACACCAATTTTGTTCATAGATAACCACATCAATTACAGCTCTTTGTAGCTTACACGAGGTTGATCGTAGTGCTCTAAGGACATGGTGATGACGTTGATGGCGATGATGAAGGTGATGATGAGGTCCAGGTAGTGGTTTGTGCACAGTGTGTGGACCATCAGGCGTATGTGGCCGTAGCTGGCAAAGTAGGGCAGCTTCTGGGCTTCTGTTGGCAGAACAATATATCAGCAGGCTTTTCAATATATTCAATCGCATTTACATTTTAAAGAGGGTATCTTCAGATAGATATTTTTTTCTTTATCCTGCAGCTGGAAGACTAACGGAAGCGCTATTTTCTGTATAAACTATGCTTTCTGCTCTCCCCACTTCTTCACATTTTGTAGTAGTTATCATGCTATACAGTCTGGCTTGGGTCAGATTGCTTTGAAATGTAATTACCGAAAACAAATGACATAGCAATGTTTGTAATTAGCAACTTAATCCATTAGTTTACAAAAAGAAAAATCGAATCCAAATACTTTTGGTAATCAGGCAAACCTTCAAGCTATAACTAAATAACTAATATTGAAGCAACATTAAAACAAACTGCCCCTCTTCCTACTTGAAACAAAATTAGAGACAGGCTCCAATGAGAGCTTGCGATTGCAAAATTAGCTTCGAACAAGCTGGAATCACTCCTAGACAAAACTAACAGCAATTAAGACAATTACTGTTTGTTTGTTTATTATAATCTGTCTGTCCCTAATTCCATCTCTTTTCCTCTCAACAGCACATCATTTCATCAGCGTTAATCACAGCTCTGCATGCTAATAGAAAGTGATTCTTATGATGTGTCATTGTAACTACAGAGAGTTCTTCAAGCCCTTGTTTCAGGCTTTGTAGTGTTTGTAATAATAATAATCTTCATAAATTCTCCAGAAATCCATCCTGCCTCTCTTTTCTTAATTACTGTACCAATCTTTTGTATCGTTCTTTTTCTGTCCACCAGCTCTTAATAAGCCTCTGTGTTTTTCCCCCCAGCTCCTTCTCCTGTCATACTTCTCCTTTTCTTTTCCATGCGCCGCTGACGCTTCTCCTCACGCCTTTTGGCCTCTTCCACCTCCTGGTTCTGACGACACTTGTGGAAATTCTCCACAACCACACCGACAAACATGTTGAGGACGAAGAAGCTAACAATAAGCAGGAAGGAGATGAAATACAGCAGCATCCACGGATTGTTGTTGGTCACAGGCTGGAGTTGAATCGATGCGTTGTTTTCAAGATTGAAATTGATAACAAACAGAGAAGGAAAGGGAAAGGAAACCAGATGTTACTAGATGTACTCTTTGGATAGTGAAGATGTGCCTCAGGTTTTTGGTTTACATTAGCTATATAGATAGATAAGTACAATGTACATAAGAGAAATTAATAAATAAATGCACATTCTATGGACAATCTTGCACCAAAGATATTGATATTGAAGTGACTGTTATTTTGTATATATTATTTTGTATGTATTGATTGTTGTGTTTTTTTTATCTTAATGTGTGCATATGTGTAAATGTGTCTGTTGATTGTGTATATAGGATATACATATTTTATACATATTTTTATACATATCTGTATATTATATAATTTTATATTCGGGACTGTTGGAAACATCATTTCGATCTCTCTGTCTGTAAATAAAAACTAAGTAAGATTGACATTAAAGTTGACTTTGACTTTGACACTATAAATAAACAGTCCAAAATATTTCTGAAATAGAAATAAAATAGCATACAAAAGTTAAAAATATATATATATATACACATGTGGAAAATATACATGTGGAAATACACATTTCCAGTAACAAATATAATGCAAGATATTATTGTGCAAGAAATGGATATATACGTATATATAAATGTAAATGTGGGCACCTGTTGGTCCACAGCCACAGCATCCAGGCCGTGATACATGATGTTGACCCAGCCGTCCTTTGAGGCTAGCACAAACAGGGACATCAGAGCCTGGACAACAGCAGGGAAAGGAAAAGAAAGGGAGACTCTTATCATTATTTCATGGACAATTTTCTTTCCTGTTTCTTATTTCCTGTTGCACAGCAGACATGCAATAAACAGAAATGTCACACAAACCTGCCCCAGGTTGTCAAAGTTGTACTTGTGGTGGACCCACTTGTAGTTGGCTAGTATACAGTCGGACTTGTTGGTGATGTTTTTGACGTCGGGGCCAAAGCAGTGAAAGAACTTGCCTTTAAACAGCTGTCAGAAGAAGAGAAATGAAACCACGCTTTTGATGCTGTCTGACTACACGTGAAAAATAAGCTTTAAGGGGCTCCTGTGATGAAAGGGTGCTCCTGAGTGAAATAATGAGCCGGTCAAAGATTGCACCAGCATACAAAGTTATGCTATGATGAAAAGGAAGCAGGATGACAATGAGATTGACTTTAGGCCGGAATGCATGTGTGCACTCAAAGCTAAGATGATAAAAGACACTCACAGTAATGGGTAGGAAACACGCAAATGCACCTAGACTAGTTCAGCAATTTCCTTAATTATACATTTGATTACATATCATTAGATAAAAGCTGCCATGTTGTCCTACCTGGACCCCAAGAATGCCAAAGATGATGAAGAATGCACAACAGATGAGGACAATGTTGCCGATGGGTTTGAGGGAGGTGATGAGGGTCTCCACCACCAGCTTCAGACCTGGAGCTCTGCTGATCACTCTGAGGAGGGGAGAGCGGTAAGAGGAGAATAAGATTAACCAACTAATTAAATGTGTGATTAGTTATCCATTTAATAGCGTTAAAATTCAACAAATTAGCTCAAAGTCGGCACTATTCATGGGAGAGCAAACATATTTATTGAAGAGTACATCAATGATTAATTACTGTTGCATTTCAGTCTGCTGTGGAGATTATTAAATAACTTTAGAAATGTTGTTTTTGATCTGTTTGAGCAGAAAGAATTGCTTTTCTGTCATTTTGTTGATCCATTAAGGACTAAGCCGTACAGAGCTACCAGAAAAAACTGTATAAATCAGCAGATGCAAACTGCTTATTAATTATTATTTGTACCTGAGGGGACGCAGTGTTCTTAGCAGCCTGAGCACTCTGAGCACACCCAGGATCTTGGCCCCGCCCGCCATGGACACCACGATGTCAATCAAAGACACAAAAACCAGGAAGCCATCCAGAACGTTCCAGCTGCTCCGCAGGTAAGAATGATCCCCTACATACAGACCCATGGAGACCACCTGGAGAGAGAGCATTTGGTATGGCTGAATATAAGAACATGGACTGTCGGTTTCTTGTTCAGCTCTGTACATGAACACATACGCAAATACACTCCTACAATGAAAATTAGATTAATTAGAAAAAAAAGAAGACTCTAGGAAAATGGTTATGCAATTTACACACAATAGCGAGTGTTCACAATACCACCACCATCTATGTTGTTCTATCCATTGGTTCAGTGATATTACATTACATTACATGTCACTTGTTAGACGCTTTTATCCAAAGCGACTTCCATACTCAAGTGTCTTGCCCAGGGACACAACGACATGCTGACTGCAGTGGGGTTTGAACCTGTGACCCCCTGATCCGAACACCAACGGACAACCCACTGCACCACACGCCTCCCTGATATGTGTTGCAGTGTTTACGTCCCATTGCCTTTAAGCTTGCTTGTTAAATCGTTATAGTAACACCACTTGACAGACAACGGTACGTTACTCCTCTGTGACTTTGAGAGCGTGATATTGATGTCATGCAGGCATTGTAATACATATATGCACACAGCTGAATCTGGTGTTTTCCTATGCAGCAGTGGGAGCATCAAGCATCTGAAACTGACATTTGAATCTGTTTGCCGAGTGTCTAGTAAAGCCCCAGAGGCTCAGTGGGGGTTAGCATGCAAACATATCAAGATGGTGGAAAGATCAATGCATGGCAAACATGTTAGGGCTGAATGCCGAAATGTACACTGAATGTACAAAATGTCTAAGCATGTGTTGTGTTCACAATTCGGAATATATATTATTGTTAAAGTTTAGCGATAATGCGGACATAGCATTGCTTAGTCGTACAACTCCAATAATTAGAGTGCTACTTTGTGTCTGAAGCTGCCTCATAAAATAACACTTGTAAAAGTTTTTGCAACATGCTGACACATCATAAACCCTGCTGAGCTTGTTATGTGGCTGCAGCTTGTACGCAGCACTAAACTCAGTGGAGGAGTCGTACCGAGAGATTAATGCTACACAAACAATCGCACAGCAACACACATTACTGAGATGCGAGAGGCGCAGACAGACAGAGGCTCGGCCAGGGGGCTGACAACCCTGTGGCTTTTTGACGGTCTGTGATTGGTTCATAATTGATTGTGGGAGTGCATAATTGATGGCCCGCTTGTGCCAAAGTCTTTCACAGAGAGACAGTGGCAAACGGAGGGAGGGAGAGAATATAAAAGACAGAAGGGTTGCGGGAAGATCAGGAAGAAAAAAGAAGACTGAAGAGAACAGAGGGACCCTAAGGAGGTTGGAACACAAACTTTATAAAGAAGCTGTCAACATCTGCGAGGACAGGAGGATGGAGAGAGTGAGGGGGAGTGCTGGAGAAGTATTGCATCCATAAAAAAAAAGCCTAGCCGCTAATGAATGACAATGCTTAATTGCTCTATTCTCCAAAGGAACAGGGGGGTCGCAAGGAAAGAAGGAGCGGGGAAGGGGTTGGGCTGTGGGAGCACTGAAGCAAAGTCAATTCAGTGAGAGACAGACCAAAAAAAGACGCCTCTAAACTACACCCAGGACTCATTGGAAGAAATACAGAGACAGGTTGTAAAATGTTACCTTGAGTGTCATCTCGGTCACAAATATGGCAGTAAAGACGTAGTTGGAGATGGTGAGGAAGACTCTTTCCTGGAGGGGGATGAGAGAGGTTGTCAGAAAGATGAGATGGGGCACTTGGGGGTTGTTCAATCTGACTCACTGCACCTTTAAGATAATAACATGTAGTTTATCTCCAGAGAATAACCAGGGCTAGCTCAACAGCTTCTAGACACACATGCACAGACACACTTTTCAGATGGATTTACCAAGCTGCCCTGAAGTATCTCAGGCCTCTCCAGAGCTACTGTGATGCAGTTGGAGAAGATGAAGGCCAACACCACATAGTCAAACAGCTTATGGGCGACAATGGACTGGCATATCTGTCTGAACCTGGAGTAGAAGGAGAGAAGGGGAGAGGAGAGGAGAGGAGAGGAGAGTAGAGGAGAGGAGAGGAGAGGAGAGGAGAGGAGGAATGAGTTGAAGTAAGGAAGAAAAAAGTAAACAACAACAATTGGCAGACACAATTAGGGGTGACAATACATTAAGGTAAGGCCACACTCCGCCAAAACACAATCTCCATCCAATGAGAATGGGAGCCGAGTCCCCTGACAGTGAATGGGAGCTCCCTTACATCTTCTTGAGTAAATAGCCTCATTCAGCCCCTGTTTACATCGCTACTAATTCAAAACAAATTAAATTAACAACACTCTCAGAAGCACCACACTCCTGAGAACAGAGCTCTGCTGGGAGAACAGAAGAGAGGGATAATCGAGGATCAGACCGAGAGAAAAGGAGAGAGAGAGATGAAGATGGGCCGTATAAATACTGAACATGCTTTTCTTTAAGATGTGACGCTGCGTTCTGCCAAAAAGCAATTACATATCTTTGCTGTGTTGATTGGAACCAACAAAAAGATACAGAATGAATTAAATAGGAAAGTTATTGTATGTTGGAACAAACATTTAAATGGCTTTTATTCAAACTGTTTCCATCCAAACTGCAGACAGTAGCACAACATCACAAGTTAATGCAGAATTTAATGAATTGTCCATGGTATTTAATGTACCATATCCCCCCCCGGGGTCTGTTTCTTGCTCTCAAACAGGAGGGGAGATGGTAGGAAATATCACTGTTTTGGTTTTTTTACAAGGTGTCGATCAATTGTGGAATGTAGTCTACTCTGTGGAAGCTTGGCAACCCGACCTTCCTATCGATGAGGCGGGAAAAGGAATCTGCCCACCCATCCTTGATATTGTTTTGATGAGACGCGTCCTGTGGCCAGACCATAATGATTGTATTACAGGCTGTTCACACTTTGGCTTAAAACCAGCCTGCATTTTGGGTCAACACACTCTTGACGCAGACAATCACTAAATGCAGTGTGTACAACCGTTTTCATTAGCCTCTTAAAGTCTCTCTAGATGGCGGCTTCTTCTGCCAACAGTCTTTCAGAGGCTATAGCTAGAGTAAAGATACTGCTGTAATATGAAACAAGATAACCTAGGGCACCCATTAGAACCAAATCATACAAGCTTGACAGAAAGACGTTTAATAATGCTCCAAAGTGCAGTTTTTTTTGCATTAAGTATTCTTGACACGTTCAAAATAAATTCTCAAGTTTTCAAGAATGGTTGAATCTTTTACCAAATCTGTGTAACATATGGAATCAACCGAATAACTTACAATACATAATCTAGCCTGAGAATGGCAGTCACAGTATAAATGTATTATGTTTAATATAAAAAGGCCTCTGGATACTGGGGTCCCTAAACAGTCATAATTATATAAATTGGGTATGAATGGAAAGCTGAGACTCTTTTCGGATTCAATGAGCAAAATTGCATTCATGATTATTCTAGTCCCCATAGTAACCACTTCATTGTAGTGAGGCCATTTTTTTTTTAAACTTGACCTCTCTGTACACAATAAGCTGTTTACTTTACAGACACAAACTAGAGCTTAAATGCATTCAGTTTCAGACAAAAGCTTTTTAATACCAGCTCTACTGGTGCTGTTTTTTTTAGGTCTTGGTGTTTTTTGTGGGATTCTTGACATATTCAAAATAAATTCTCAAGTTTTCAAGAATGTACAAAATCTGTGTAACATATGGAAACAACCCAATACCTAACAATTCATAATATAGCCTGAGAATGGCAGTCAGATACTTCGATCATATTGTTCTAAGCTCTTAGACACTCATAATGTAAAACATTTTTTTAAATAGGCGACTTCCCAAAACACAGATATTTGTCACAGATTTATGACCAGAAACTCTTGACAAACAGTGTGACGCTGCACCTCAAATTATTTTCACGTTCCCAAGTTATATGGGGCATATACTGTTGATTTGCTGCCTCCCTAAAAAGACAATTATCGACCTATGGTAGGGAGGGAGGGGGGAGTGGGAGAGATTAAAAAATAAAGAAGGATTAAAGTGACTCACCTGTTCCGTGGGGAGAACAGGAAGACAGACCACTCCTCTCTGGACTCACACCAGTCCGGTTTGTACGCTTCTAACATCTTCTCGACGCGGAAGCACAAGCTCTGCAAAACGCAAACATAACACCTCACATCATGGCAGAGCCAATATAGCATAAACAATATAAATCCGAAAGCTAACACACAAAGACAAACACCATTGAGAGAAGACACTGCCCGTTAAGACCCATTATTTAAATTATTTACGAAAGTGAAACACTTCTATAACAACAGCTCGGAGCATCTTCCAACATTACCATCTGTATAGCTCTCCCCCCCCCGCTGTCTAAATAGTCCTTTCTAATTAACCTTGTTTCTCTCATACCCAGACTTGTTTACAATGAAAACAATAGGAGTCCCACGAGGCCCAGGTGATGGGGAGTGCAGGCTTTACACAAAGTACTCGAAAATCCTACACAAGAGAGCGAGAGATTACCGTGTGTGTAAGATCGTGTACTTTAACACAAAAGCTAATGGTTCGTTTATTGAGAAGCACAAGACTAGATTCTTGTCTTTGTTCTTTTTGGATGCCGTTACTCTACACACCATCTTAGGGATACTTATCTGCATCTGTGGACTTTGTGTATTATAGGAATGTTGTAAGATTGCATAACCTTGCTCCACTTACTCACCAGGCTTTTCCTAATGCTATTAACATTTAATTCCACACGCACTAATCGGGCAACTTACATATTCAATGTCATCATCCAGGTCCTCCCGGTCCTTGCTGCGTGTGTTAACCTGGGGGAAGACGTCAGACATCAGCTGGCTCTGGGGGTTCACCCCTCCAGCATGCTCAGTGTGGTGTCTGTGGGGGGGCTGCAGAAGCTGAGAAAGAGGGATCTTCCCATTACAATCTTGGTGAACCCCTACTAAGCCCCCCGGACTGTCGTGTCCACTGCCACCGCCTCCACTGATAACCGCCCCCCCAGAGAAGCTCTTCTTCCTGTGTTGAGCGTGGAGCGTCAAGGGGGGCAGAGGGTGGTGTGGCGGCAGTGGAACGTGCGGGGGTCCTGGCACCTGCAGCAGGTGGGGCAGCTCTAGCGAAAGGGCCCTGCGGTCCCTCCTGGGTACAAAGTGTCCAGGGAGCATAGGGTGAGGAAGGTGCAGGGAGTGAAGAGGAATAGGAGGAGGAGATATGAGAGACTCCTCCTCATCTTGGAGGACATGGTGGAGGTGGCGCCGCGGGGACGAGGAGGCGCGAGGACCCCGGATACGAAGACTTCCTCCAACCACGCCGCCAAGGCCCCCCAGGCCGTAGCCATAGAAGGGCCGTGCGGAGGTGGTGGTGATGGCCGGACTCGCGGAGGGAGACGAGGAGGAGAAAGGCCGGCATCCTCCCAGGCTGTTCCAGCTGGAGCGACGGGCCCACAAGGCCTGAGGGTGGGGGGCACACGGGCGACCCCAGTTGTGGTAACTTCGACCTGAAAACTACAAAAAGAGACGGAGTGAGGTTTCTTTCATGTCCTGTAATTCTGAGAAAGACGATAACAAGTCACAGAACTAGGAGAGGACTCGGAAAGAGCAGGCAGGTCAAACATCTAATGGGTTTTTATTTGGCCCATGCTCCATCCTTTCACCAAGTTTCATAAAAAAAGGGGCAGAATTTTCAGAAATCACGCTGGAAAAAGATACACCAACCAAACCTAAAAGATAAGCTCCATAGCAACAATTTTATTACAGCAGCAAATGATTCTCATAGGAGACATAACCTATAATATTCCCTCAACTGTGTTTCAGCCAATTAAAAACACAATGGCAGTCAAAAGTCCGCTTACCAAAGCCCTCTGCTCCAAGTTGGCCCTACCAAGAGAATTAACACTGTTCTTCCTGGAGTCCAGAGCGAAAGTCAACCTCTCTCCCGGAAACAGACCATGGGACAGTGGGGACAAGTCAAGGTGCCCGTTAGGAGTCAGCGTACAGATCTTTGGGTCTGTGGGAAGGAAGGAGAGTGGAGTGAAGAGAGGGGAAAGATGGCACGCTCCATCACTTTACAACATAAATGTCCTTAAACGAAGTTATAGCCAGCACAGAGAGGCAGAGGAAGGTTTCATTTACACCAAATCACCTTGGAGGAGCCAGAGAGGAGCTCGTAATGATGGAAGAGAGAAATCTCTGCCAGTGGTTTGTCTGTTTTCAAACATATCTTTGTGTAATATAGGTCTCCAGGAACCATTGTCATTCCAAATGTGTGTTTCTCTTTCTTCAGGTACATTAAAAAAGGCCTCTCTGATGTGCTGCTAAATGCTACTACTATGGAGCATGATGCAGTGGCTTATTCTTGGTGGGTTCACTTTTGTTATGCCTACAGGGAGACGAGGGGAGAGGAGTGGATGGAGACGTGGCATCCGGCATGCATTATTTAAAGCTTGTGCAGCTTAAATTCCAGACAGGGAAAAGATGGTTAGCAATATGTGTTGTGGAAATTGGATGACAGGCTACGGTTTTAAAGCCCAGGGCACAATAAAGCAGCTGATAGCTTTTTCTGGATTTGCTGAATGCCTGGGGGATTGGTTACACCACGACCTTGAAGCACATATATGATGGTACTTCTTTTACCAGTCAGACTGAAGTAGGCAAAGACGTGAAATAATAATTCTAGGAGCAGTTTTTTTTTAATGTTTGTAGTTCTGATATAATTAAGCAAAAAGTAACACAAGGGAATTTAAATCTGATCTAATGCAAAATGATCTCTTCTAACACAATCCAACAGAGGTGTGGTTTAGTTTAAAGTTCACATTTTAATTTAAAATAGGTCATATATTCTGTGTAGGTGAGAAGAAAAGAAATGCTGTAAAGCTCCTGGAGGCATTTCATACCTGAGAGATGAAGAGAGTCTTTCTGCTTATCATTCTCCTCAAAATTACAGGAAGACCTGTCGTCGTCCGAGAAAGAGCGGTTTGCATCACCCTGTATCGAGGAAAGTGGGATACAATACATTGGTGAGAGAGTTCAAGACATAGAAGAAGAAATGAAGAGGGATGGGAGGGCACAGAAAGGAAGAGGAGACATGAGAGAAGATTAGGGAGAAGAGAGTGGAAGAAACGCATAGAAATGAGGATAAATCACAAGCTTATTTCAATTACAACTTGCCCCTTTCTTATTACCAACTAATTGAAGAGGTATTTACTCCCAAGTCCACCTATTCTCATTCATCACATCTAGCGAGAGAGGTTCTACGGAGGCTCAGTATTCAACCAATCATATTCCTAATGTATTGTTGGATTGGAGGAAATCCTTATATATATATATATATATATATACCGTTAATACAGTATAACGACAAATTTAGGGCTGTGCAATTAATCGTATTTTAATCGCAATTACGATTTTGGCCTGCCACAATTACGAAAACAACATAATCGAAAAAAACAATTATTTTGCTTTGCTAGGTTGTGACAGTGCACTGCAACATATTTGATCTAATTTATTTTAGTCTCATTTATTTGTATTTATCATATTTATATATGTTTAGTAGCTTGGGGAAGTGCGCTCCAAAATATTTGTTGATCTTGTTTATTGGTATTTATTATTTTGATATTATTTATTTAAATGTATAATTTATTTTTGTATTGGTTTTCCAGTTGAATTATACGTTCAGGGTAATCAACAGTTAAAAGATACTGTTCAAATTATTATTTGTATTTGTTTTAAATTTCAATAAATGGATTTTTTCAAAGTCAATGAATAATCGTATTTAATAATCGTGATATCAATTATTGACCCAAATAATCGTGATTATGATTTTTGCCATAATCGCACAGCCCTACGACAAATATATACTTGTTTTCTCAATATGCATGAAGTCATTCCTTACATTGTGCAAAACAAAGAACATGTTTCAACCCACCAGTTGAATAACACAACATATGACATATTTTTACACATTCTGTAACGGCTTTTAGCAAAAGAACGAAAAAGAATATAGGACATATTTGGCTCGCTTTCCCTGTATCACATTGCTTTTGTTAAAGGGTAAAAGGCTTTGTTACAGCATCACCGGGCGGCAAGACTATTGCAAAGCTGTTTTGCACTCGTTTCATTGAAACATTCAGCCTACATTGCAATGTTACAAAGCCGGTTAGAAAGCTAGCTACGTTTTCTTGTAATTACTGAAAACCAGCCTTCAAGCTAATTTGGCTCAACTTGCATTTGTTTGAATAATGATTAATGTACCTTGACCCTTTTCAAATAACAAAAACAACAACGATGTCTCACCTCAGCCTGAAAACCCTCCACCAGGATGGCAACCAGTAAATTGAAGAGCACATAATTTCCAAAAGTCATCAGAGCTACGAAGTAGAGAGCAGCACAGGGCGAGGTGGATGCCATCCCATTGTAAAGCACCATGTTCCAGTCCTCCTGAGTCAGAATCTACAGAAAGGAAACACCATTTTTTACTATATACCCACACACAAAAGTGTATACGACCGCAGGTAAGCACATGTTCAACCAAATGTTATTAAGTTGCAAGACAAAGCTTTTGTGTGAGAACCCATTGGTACCTGGAAGACAGTGACGATGGCCCAGAGCAGGGAGTCAAAGTTCTTCCTGTCAGGCACGGTGTCTCCTGCCTCCGTCTTCAGACTGAACTTACAGCCAAAGATATGCATCCCCAGGATACTGCAACACAACAAGTAATCAACCAATTAAAAAGGAGTACACGGGGACAGTATATGTAGGGGTCCTGTGTTTATGACACCTGCAGACAATGTGAGGAATCACGCGTTACAGTTTGGTACATGTTACAGTTACAGTATCAAATTAGGTTAGAAGAGCTGATCCACAGCTATGGAGCATTAACACCAAAAATGTTGTCTCATACACATGCTTTTAAATGAAACGAACAGACATACTTGTACGGGAACATATTGTAATCCCACTACAATCTTCTTTCTCGGTTGCATTCAAAGCTCTTTTCTTCAGTTCTCTCTCTGTTTTCCCCCCTGCTTATTTTTGTAGTTGCACCCATCTGTTTGCTTTCATCACAAGGCTGAGAAACTCAAACAATGCATTCTCTAATTCATCGCTGCTTTCTTTATGGGTTTATGCAAGGTCTTAAAAGTGTAGCTGAGTGGTACTTTACATTAACTGCTCACTAAAAGCCAGAGTGGCTGGACCATATAGGCAAAACGCCACGTGCTCAGGTTAGCTGGCTGAAGAGCTCTGATGCCATCTGCCTTGGCACACTTATTCTGGACTGCTGTGAAGGAAGCAGGTTAGCAAGTATTCACACACACATATGAGATCACACACACATATGAGATCACACACTAGCACACACAAGCAGATTTAGGGTCATAGCATTATGCTGCAGTTTAATATTTATTATGTTAAAATTAGTGAATTTACTGCAATTACGAAAATGATTAAAATAACAACAATTCTGTTAACACTATCTTCGTTATCAGTACTCATAGAGGTTAACATTGTGGAGTGTGTGTGTGTGTGTGTGTGTGGATAATATTTTGCATCTGCATCAAATTATTCAATTAGGTAGAAAGTAAAAGCATTTATTTTTAATTGTGACATTTAATCATTTTGAACCACTTCGCCTCACATTTAAGACTGAAAATTGATGTAATTTACCAAATTATTGTACAAAAAAAGCCTTGCTTATGATTACAGTCAAAACTAAAGATATTGACATCTATTTGAAATCAAACCACTTTATCAGTGAGCCGTTTGTAGTTATAGTTTACTGTCACCTTTGCTCACTGGCTTATGGCCTATTAAAGAAAATGTTAAAGTTGAATGTAGTCAAACACACTGGTGACAGACAGACAAACAAGTTAAGGTACTCATAACTTTCAAGGCAAGTAATCCTGGAGACGGAGACAGGTCAAAGAGAAAAGCATTGACAGAGCTGAGATAAGGTTTGGGTATAAAAACGAGCTGGAACTCCAATAATTAGAAGTTAATCCTATTATTTTGCACAGACTGTGTTTAGGCCTATGGCTATGTCTGCCTGCACCACGCTCAGATATCGTATTTTGTCTCAATATGCTGATACGCTATCACAGATTTCATTTTTTTTATTTAAAGAGTGGCAACAAAACAAGCTTGTTAAGCGGGCACAGCAGTGCACAAATACTCTACATACTACACACACCACTAATCTCTGTTCTCCTACTCCATTCCTCTTGTTTAACCTTTCCCGCCTTCTCTCACATTGAGAAAATGGTGTGTCCACCTCTGTTACCTGAAGATGAAGATGAAGAGCATAAGCAGCATACAGAAAGTGGCCACGTTGTCCATGGTCTTCATCAGCACCACCAGCTGCCGCCTGAGCGCCGGCATGAACCTCACCAGCTTAATGACCCTCAGCAGCCTGAAGGTCCTCAGCACTGACAGCCCGCCGTCTGCCTGGCCGATGATCTCACACACACTGCAGGCGACGCATCGGGGGGATGTGTGTGGGACAGAGAGACAGATTGAGAAGATGTGATCAAAATGTCAAGAAAAAAGTGTAAATGTGAGGAGACATTTTGATTATAATTGGGGAATGTGGAAATAAAAAGGAACAACAAATCAATAGAAATAGGGTAGACCAAAAGAGAGGAAAAGCACGTCGATAATACAACATAAAATCACAAAATACAAATACAAGTGTATAATCCGTACTTGTGAGGTGAGGTATACTGCTGCGTTTTACATGTATTACCCCCATTCTGCTTCAACACCTATATTAAACATTTGCCACAAAATGAGTAGTGTAGTTTAAAGAAAAGCGCCATGGGGGATGCATGCACTTCGTTAAAGGACATATCTGATCAAACTTAATTAGATGTACAGCAGCTGGACAACCATTACATGTTTGGACTGAAGCTTTAATGAATTTACATTGAAGGGATTTGAAGCTGTTAATTCAAGGCTCTGGATTTTGTGATTATTCCACCTCAACTTCCTGACAGAGTGACAACCTAACTTGACAATCAGAAAAGAAATGTTGTGGTGTGCAGACCTGATGATGACGATGATGCCATCAAAGATGTTATAGGGGTTCCTCAGGTACTCAAAGAAGCCAAAAGCAGTCAGCTTCAGGATCATCTCCAGGGTGAACATGCTGGTGAACACAATGTTGCAGATCTCCAGGACATTGGTCAGCTCATCGGGCTGGGTGACAGAAACGGAAAAACTGAATTAAAAGAAGTAGGAAGGATGTAGAGGCAGGTATAGGGAGAGTAGGGTAGAAGATAAGGTTTGAGTTGCAGGTAAAAAAACAGAGAATTGATATCCACAATGAGGCAGTCAAAGAGAAAAATACATAGTTGATATTATTCCACTGCTTTGCATTCGTCCCAACAATAGATGCTGGAGCCACTGCGAAAACAATTGTTTACATTTCTGTTCTGTGTTGAAAAGGCTGTCACTCAAACTTTCAGTGCCTTGAAAAAATGATTTATCCTACCTGGTAAATAAAATTAAGGCATAAAATATATTTTAAGATAGGCATACAGGGAGGAAGATGGAGAGTGTAAAAATAGGGAAATAAATTACCCGGGGAAAAACATTTAAATGTTAAAGAAAAACACAGGAAGCGTCTTATCGCTAACAGAAGAAATCTGAGAAAGAGAAATTAGTCATTTAAAATAAGAATGTGTTCTACCTGGCAAATACAATTAAGGCATACAGCTTGTCTTAGATAGGCAACGGACATATAGAAAGAGAAGAGAAAGAAAATAGGGAAATAAATTAAAATTGTACAGGAAAAAATCTGGGAAAGTGAGAATGTATATTATCTGCGAAGCACATGGTGTCGAACACTGGCTGAATACAGGTTCATGTTATCTGTAATTGGCAAAGTAACATGAAATGAACCACACACACAGAAATCACACACACATGCTCCAGTAAATCCTGGGGTTTATTTTCTTTTGTATGAGTGTGTGTACACAAGCAGACTCGCATTTTGAAAGTATACTTTGTGTGAGTGAACGTGTGGTATTCACGATATGGATCGGATGCTCTCTTTGATACCCCCGGTGAATTCCAGTTGGAAAGCCAGCGGAGAAATAGCCATCTAGCCCTGCCAAAGTTAGCAAAGCATGTCAGAGCAAAACACTGTCAGCCATCCCCCTCCTCTAATCCGCTTTTTCTCCCAATCTATCTTCATCCCCCTAGTTCTCCATCCCCTTTTTTCTCTCTGTTTCTGAGTCTCATTATCAGGCAGACCCATCTCTTCCCGATCAATATCCTACTGTCGATCAGGAGTGGGAGAAGGGTGGAAGGAGAATTCAGCTGAAGGAGCGGGAAAGCGAGGAGCAAGCGGAGGCATTGTTTAGAAGAAGGTGACATGATGGAGGAGAGGAATGGAAGACACTCAATAAGAGGGGAGAAAGAGTAACCATGATACATTGAAGAAAAATGAATTAAACTCACAAAACCACCTCTCAGAAGCTCAGTTTTCACTACAGTGCTTAGCCTGAAGAACATATACTGAGACATTTGAGCTCCGTAGTGAAGCTCGACCAACTACAGAGCGGTTTAGACGATGACATGACTGGCACCTCTATAAAAATGCAAAAGTCAAGAAACACATTTTAAAAGAAATACTCAAACTACTATCTGTGTAGAGAATAGGCAATGTAGGGATAAATGCATTTCCTCCGCTCAGCAGTCAGCGTTAACCTTGACCTGTGTCGCGAACTCCCTCAGTACTCGTAAGTACAAACACAGGATATGAGATTTATTGCTATTGACAGAACCATCACAGCCCTTGACACCACAGTTTAAATCAGACAAAACACCATCATCTCTCCCTCTGCTTGCTTTCTCCCCCCTGCTTCTCTTCTTCTTAACCTGTTATTTCACTCACAGTATTCCTCCTCATGTCCTTCTACCTGCGTTCTGTGTTATTTCACTAGCTGTCCATTTAACGAATATTTCAAGTAATATATTCTCGTAAAAATATCCTCTCCCTGTTTCTTTCTTGAAATGTGTCCTCAGTCAGCATGTGAATGTTGCTTGAATATGAATGAATGAGCTAAAACTTCTACGTCCGAATTTCAATGGGCCAATTTCTTTTCCACACAGATGTCCAAGAACACACATGCATGCGAATTGGAGGCTTGTCTTTAAATGTGCAAATGTAAAACCAGTGTTAATTTTGTAAATGAAAACATGACTAAACATCTTCGTCAACCAGGTTTTTTCCCCATGACTGAGACTAAAAGGATGAATAAACGGCTTGGTCTTGAGTCATTGTGATTTATATATAGTCCTCTTTGTGGAAAATGCGCACATGTCTTTTATTCCCCAAAAATAGTTTGGCAAACAACCTACTTATATATCCAGTCTTTTTTCATTTCACACCAGCAATTACAGCAATATCTACGAACAGAATTATTTAAAAATGACCCCAGGGTGCGCTCTGAGCTCAGTAACACTGCTTCAAACTGCCTTGAAGGAAATATGTTGATGTTTTACATAATCCTTGACTCAGGTGTAATGGATATTGCTGTTATGGCCCATATTTGTCTCTGTGTTGTTTTTTGTGTTGGATGTGTATTAATGTGTGGACGTTGTGTTCTGTTAAGGTTGACTAAAAATATGAAAAACATAACAAGGATATTTGAGATGAGATTAAGTGTTTAAAAATAAAGTGGAACATAATTAACTGTTCTTGTCAGCTTTTCTGCGTTTGAGGGTGCGGACATCGAATACAGGGTAGGCTCTGATTCAATCTAATTTCCTAAAAACTCCTTGTCAAATAAATCGTTTTTTTGACTTAGAAAACCCAAACATGCTCAGCTCTGTAAAATCTGTTTATGTCCTAAAAGCTAGGTAATGATGGATTATGTCTCAGCAAAGGCTATACACCTTCATTATATGTCCTCTAATAATGCACAGCAAGTCTTGATAATATATCTATAACAAAAACTAAAATGTTAAACTTAATTTGAATATTAGAATGTATGCTTATGATGCTTTTTATAGTTCAACCATTTCACTTACTGTCTACAACACCTGCAACATGCAACTTCATTTTATGGCTACATTTGCAGTAATCCAAGATGAATATAAAAAACACCACCTGACAGTCTAACATTTTAAAGCAGAAACTTGAGATGAACATTCCCCCGAGGCAGGGTGTGAAGCGGGAAAGGCAGCCATGTGGTTTTGCCGTTTTATTGGGAGAAGTACCTCAGCTTCCTGACTGTTTTCAAACACAAGGGGTGAGACTTCTTACTGCAGAGTGAAATCACAGTAGTATCACTGCCTCTGTGTGAGCGTGTGGAAACTGTGGAGGGAGAAAGACTCAAGAGACGGACAGACAGACAAAGTGTCTGAGAGTGTGTGCATGCAAATGTGTACCTATGTTGGTGTGCATACATGCCTACTTTGAAAAGCACACACAGAATCACACAGGGAATTGAGCTGAAAACTGCTGTGTAACCGGCGTCTGCCTCGCTCTTCCCACATCACCCATCTCCTCCGCTCCCCTCCCAACAAACCCTCGTTTATTTTTAGAATCTTTGGAGATGAGAGAAAGCAACTACTCTGTACACTGTCAAAGAGTGCGTGGGTGGATAAGAGAGAGGACGAGGGAAGTGGGGAGAAGGAGGGTGAGACTGAGGGAGGGGAAAGAGAGGCAGACAGTAGATCAGACACTTGGGGTAAGGAGGGAAGGACGGAAGGAAGCAGCAACAGGGAGGAACAAAAGAGCGAGTGGGGGAAGGAATGTGCAAAGGAAAGATGCACGGAGGGATTTATGTAGAAAATAAGGGGATAGAACTGGAAGTAAAATTAGCAAGGGAGGGAGTTGAGAGAGACAGAGAAATTAGGGGAAAAAAGAAAAAGCTCTTTTATGTAACAGCATGTGTTGCTGTTGGTGCACATTTGAAAAGATATGCACACACTGGACACAAATGGATGTGTATTGTGTGTGCGCACTGTATTCAATTGTATGTTTGCATGCGTGCGTGTGTAGTCTTGGCAGGCTTCCTCCACACTGCTCTCAGACACCTGCCTTGTCTGTCTCTGAGGAGCCTGGCCAATGTTAAAAGCCAGCTCGGATTTGTCTACCGCCAGGCTAAATGTTTACACCTCTGTCAGGAAACTGCATGGCGGTGATGCTCCACTCCCACGCTCATCCTCCTGAATGTCATCTGCTATTATGATCATCCTAGCAGCGATGCTTCATCAGCAGGGGTAGTGTTTAATCTGTGGTGAATTGTGGGCGTGAGGGGGTAATGCACTCTATTGACACTAGTGCATGAGTGTAAAGGATATGAGACAATGCATTTAATGCAATGTCGGCAAGAAACCTTGTATTTATCAATATCCAAAACATTTACTCTCTTTCTTGGGTATAAAATAAGGGTCTTATTTCACTTTGGTCTGTTATAATGACAAAGTATGACTGCATATACATGAGTATGGATGTTTGTGTGACAGCATTGACAATCTTACCTGGTTATGGTGCTCGATGCCCATACTGATGGTGTTGATCAGAATAGCGATCATAATGCCCCTGCTGAAGTACTTGCTCTCTACAATGCCCCAAAGTTTCCTCCTCATATCGTTCCAGGTTTCTATACAATGTCGAAAACACGTCCTCTTCCTCTTCCTCTCTCCATCCCCCCTCTCCTCTAGATGGTTCTCCTCCTTGCCCGTCTCTTTCACCGCATCCTCGGCTTCTTCCTCTCCTTTGCCGGAGTCTCCCTCCGCCCTCACCCCATCTTTCAGTGATAATACGCATATAGGACAGTCCTCGGGTTTCTGAGGGACAGACAGACTGATGGAGTTTTCAAGTGGCTGAGAGCCGTGGTCTGGCTTGCTCTGGTGTGGACAGTGGAATGCTAGAGGGATGGGAAGACAAAGAATATGAGATTAATAGGTGCACTTTATTCACGATTAAGCAATTATTTGTATAATGAACACAATACAAAAAGTATTTTCTCCTGTTGCAAAAGTTTCAAAAAAGGGAATTTGTAGTAAACATTGAATCAGTCCCTAAATCACATCCATTAAAATTCAGCCACATTTGTAGTCAAACCTAGTAAGGCTGGATCACATTTATTTAAATTCCGATCCATCATCGTGTGATCATTTTAATACTTGAACTAGAAAAGTGCACTCAGCACAGTGCAGTTCAACAGGCTGAGTGAGACTTCATTTAACCTAGTCTATAGGCAAACATGTTGAGAAATCAGCAGTCAATCACAGTATAAAACTGTCATTTTCCTTTGTCTAATTGTGTTTCACCATAACCACAAGATGTCCTTGAGCAGACAGTCAAAAATGAGCAGAAATATCGGGCTGATCGCTACAATAGCATGCGGACAGGCAGTCAAGCATACAGATACACCCATAAACACAAAACTAACCAAACACATGATATCATTATGTTTTAAAAAAAATATATATACATATTTAACAGTTACACAATTACACATTTGCTGAAATTAAAAATATCAAATGTTGCATATTCACAGGCCATCACTGAGGCCCTCCAACTCACTTTTTGGGTGCCTGGAATGATGACGCTCTCCGTTCACATTTCCCCCCCCACGCCTGTTGCCCCTGCCACCAACAGCCGGCGGGGTTTTGCCCCTCAGCGTGTAGTAGAGAGCTGCCGATCTCCTCTTAGCCTTGCGGAGGACGTGGCACACCAGCTGGAAGATCTCCTCGTAGCAATCTCCCGGCTCAGCCATGCTGGCGAGGGTGGAGGAGGACAGGCACTGCGCCCTCTGTTCCTGCATCAGCTGGTGCTCCCGCTGTTTGGTCTCCGAGAACTGGGTAGCGATGACCACCAGGCACAGGTTGATCATGAAGAATGACCCAATCTGGATGGATGTGGAGCAAGGAGCAGAAAGTTAAACCATGTATGGAGGGGAAACATGTTGGATGAGTAAAGATATACCACACATTAAGTGTGAAAGAGTAAGAGCAAACAAAGGAGAATTACTGCAGGGAACATGAGCTACTAGCACGAATAATTACGTGTTTAAAAAAAAAAAAAAGTCTGTGAAGAGTTAGTGCACACATCAAGATTTTAATAACTTATCCGAGAGGCAACCCAAACTAAAATAACAAAAGTGCCATATTTAAATAATCAGCCTACGGCTAAAAGCAGATGTTGCTCATTTAAGAAACATGAAATATGTAAAGAATTTAGATTTTCCAATGCTAAATACAGACTTGTTTTGACATAAAGCTCACACACTTGATGATTCTGATAATGTGTGCCAATCCCCCTGTAGAAATGTTACATGCTAAAGGTCTCTGAAGGCTGGCTTGCCACCAAACAGAGGCTGATTGGAGCAGACAGACAGAGCCAACACATGCCCAAAGCACAGTTCAGCGTCTGGCTATCTTTCTCTTCCTTTTATTCTCAGACTCTTACTTGACTTAACTTTCCCACCCGTTTCTACTCCAATTTAATATCTGTTTTCAATTTTTTTTCTGGCCATGCTGCTTCGCAAAAACATTTCTTTACCCATGAGTGCATCTCTATTTTTTTACTTATTTTTCACAAAAGAGCTTTTCATTACTCTTACAAGTGAATGTCAGAGGGATAGTTGCAGAAAGGAGATGGGGTGCATTGTGGTTTGTACGTGTTGGCTGACCCTTTTAGTGGCAGTAATAGGAATCACTGCAGGACCGCTGAAATGGCTTTTATTGGACTACTCTGAGCTGGTTACGGGACAATGATTAGATCAATATTGGCTAATACTGTACAACTCAAAACTCAGACTGCGGGATGGATAGGGCAGCCTGTAGCAGAGTCTAGGTTTTTGTTCATTACAAATCTGAACATGTTCCGCTGTTTCTCCCTGGACAAAGCTCTCTCACATCGAGAACACACACAGACACTCTACAGCTACAAAGCCAAAACATTTGGAGCAGGAATATTCAATAAAACATGAATAGATATACGTTTTAAACTTGATGACCCTGCAACTTTAAGCTTCCATCCACAGTGATCAAAGATGTAATGAGAGAAGGTAGAAGCTGGAGGAATACAAAAAAAGGAGGAGACTCCAGAGATATTCACAGAGAGAGAGAGAGAGAGAGAGAGAGAGAGAGAGAGAGAGAGAGAGAGAGAGAGGAAACGCAGCGGGGATGTAGAGAGGGAGGAGAGATGACCATCTGTGTCCTGTGGGTCAAAGCAGGTCTGCAGGTGTGTGGGCCTTTGATTTCCCTCCAGGGTTGGATCTGTGTGTGTGTATGTGTGTGTGTGTGTGTGTGTGTGTGTGTGTGTGTGTGTGTGTGTGTGTGTGTGTGTGTGTGTGTGTGTGTGTTGTGTGTGGTGTGTGTGTGTGTGTGTGTGTGTGTGTGTGTGTGTGAGAGATTCTGATCAGTAGGCAGCTTTGTGCATAATCAAGGCAGGCAGTCTAATATCAGATATCACTGCATTATGCATGCATGCAAACACACAAATGCACATAGAAAACATTATGTGTGATCCACAGGCTTACTTAATTGCATGTGTCTATGTGCTTCCATGCACTAGCCGTCACAAACATTTATGCCCATATATTCTATTTTCTCTGAAATCGACATCTTCTATTAATTGCCCTCTTGGTAGCTAAATCTGTAAGTCACTTAAATCCATTTAGTCTCTCTTCAATGTGACACCAATAAAGACTCTTGGGTTGCGCACTTGACAGTATATCAAGTATCAAACAGATAGATATGAGACTCTGTGGAGGTCAAACGAAGCACTATTTCTAGGAACATACTCACTTACAGGATCAACTAACAAGCTTAAAAAGAGCACAGGGTACTGCAACTCCATAACAAAAGAACACCGACAGAGAAACTAAATAAGAGCAAAATGAAAGATGAGACAGTCAAGGTGACCCTCACTGTGTGAGCAACACCTTTGAGGCTCATGGAAGTGTCTGACCAAAAACTTCTTATACTGTCAGCAAAATACTTCCAAGGCATCCCTCAGGACCTTTGACTACAAGCTGCCAAACAGAATGGAGGCTTGCAGAGATGCTCAAAAGGGGCGGCACATGTTTGTCAATCAATAATGTACCACAAAGGGAGCATGGTGTTGGCTTGATGTTAAGTGTTGTGCAAGTGATTGAGCTTTGTATGTTCAGCTTACAGTATGTGTTCACTTCTGAGAGACTAAATGCAACAAACATGAAGCTTCACTACACATTAGCGGCAATTAAGCATCTAGAAGCTAAGGCTATTACTTTGGGGTTTGTTGTAGTAATTGGATATCCGGGCAAAGACTTCTTTGTTCATGTGCCACAAGTAGCAAATTAAGTCAGTTAAGAGGTTATATTGAAACTAAATACAAAATGTAATCATTATTATTGGGATAATAAATCAGCGAAGTTGTGCTCCTTTAGCTGACTGTTTACGAGCCAAAGTGCTGTACATATAATAAAAATACCCTACAGTAAAGACACTTTTCAGCAAATACAACAGCACAGTTTGTGCAGAATACCAGTATGAGAAAATGACACCCTCTGTCCTTAGACCCTCACATCTATAACTGTAGTGCTTGGCTCTACAGTCCAAAGGCCATGTGATTGTGATCAATTTAGCAGCATTAAAAAACCAAGCCAAAGTGATTACACTGTGACACCATGTCTACTATCTTTGGGTGCCAAAAGGTGTTTACACTGGCAATGACAACCTCAGGTCAGACCTGCCAGCGAGGGGAGGGAATTTACAGCTGCAGTCACATGCCAATAATCTCCTCAACCTAATAAGGTCAATGTTGTGAGGAAGAGGAGAATGGGGGGAAAATACTCTTTTGAAGTGCAGGACTCCCACTGCATTACGTTTCTTCACTATCATTTTGCATTTCTCTTCTCTCACCTGGTTCCCTCTCCTAAGGTATTTCTTGATCCTATTTTCAAGCCTTACAAAGGCCAGTATGTCTACTTCCTTTTGTGTTCACCTGCCTGTGGGAAACCACTGGGACTTTTGTTGTACGTCTGCTGCTCAACAGACTGAACTCCAGTTTTACGGACAGCCAATGGCACGTGAATTCATGAAGAATTAAACAACTTCCATTGTGTCACCCTCTGGCACTGCATGCAAAGAGCTGATCTAGCTCTTGCATACAAGTACATCTCACTTTTGAAAAGTTCTTTAACCGTTTTTCTTCCTCTCCTCTCCTTATTTTGCTATTTATTACCAAAGACACATTTACATAACATTGATTTTAGAAAGTTCTATATGCTACTATTGATTTTCACAAGTCTATTAACACTTCCATCTGCTACTCAGGGAATATGCTCATTAAATAAAGTGATGGCAGATGTCAATATATATTGGAAAGGTTGGAAGGGATTTTTATCTCAAGATAGTTACAGTTCATTATTTATGTATCCATTATCAGATTACAGTGTACACTCGATGTGTCAGCCTGAAGGGATGAAGTGTACTAATAAATAAACAATTAAGAAAAATTGTAGCGGTGAATTTGACTTACAATGATGAGTAAAATGAAGTAGATGAAGTTGTAGAAGGAATGGGCATCCATCACATAATACATGATCTCCACCCAGCCCTCCAGAGTGATCACCTAAGAGCAAAAATGGTATGGAGTGTTAAAGACAATAAACATCTACAAGTTTACAAGTTCAACACGTTTTTTCTCAGAGCTTTGTTAGCAGTATAATTGCAAACTTGACTTGTGCATCATAGTTCATAATCCATGTTTAAATATAATGGAACTTGCCAATCAAATAGCAGATAATTGCATTAGTGCCTAAGTGAAACAAATCAAATACATGAAACATAATTTAATCAGCCAAAGAAAACCCACTTGTGTTCTGAAGCAACTATTTGATCACTTCAGAATCTATCTAAGAAAGTATATTTCTTCAGATTCATCGTATTACAAAAGGGTTGGAAAATACAGAATTGATATGTGACAATATTGTAGGGTTGACCATTGTTGCTTTTATCAAATATTGTTTACAATGAGATTTTGGTCATCACGGTCAATAATCATCATTAACTTAAATAAAATGAATAAGTGTGTAAAGCTAAATAAAGGAAACGCTAGATAAGTCTAAACAAGTTCCAAATGTAATCACTTTACTGTAATGATGCTTTTCAAACCAGATAAAGATAGCGTGTATCAGAGATTTAAAATAATATTCCCCAGCCCAAATGACAAGCTCAGAAACCCACAGCCCGACCTCACCCTCACCTCATCAGTCTTCACACCCAAACATACCTGGAAAATGACGATCCAGGCGTAGACAATGTTGTCAAAGTTAATGGCATTTTTGTGGGGGTTAGTACTTCCTGTGTGGCACCGAGTGTAATACAGGTTCCAGTCGATGCACAGACCGATTGCTTCACCGGCACCGCTCCCGTTGGCCAGTGGTTCAGGACTCAAGCCCAAACCCTGTCTGTGGAGCGCGTCCTCCCTGTCCAGGCAGCATGTGCGTCCTCCTTCGCGCCTCGCCGGCACATCATGACATGACCTGATGCCATTATGAATTGCCAGGGAGCAGATGAAGGGCCGTTCGTCATCCTCCTCTGGCTGGTAGTATGGAGCAGGTAGGGTCATACCTGAAGAGCTGGGGCTGTGACAAGGGAAGGAAATGAGAAGAAAGGTCCCCTATTATACTGTTTTTCATCAATATATTATAGGTCTCAGATATATACAAAACATGTCTCTGAAGTGTTTGGCTCCAAACACCAAACAGATCATTGCAGCATCCCATAATCCCCTCTGTTTCAGCCCTGTTTCAAAAGTGCTGATTCTCTGTCTGTTACTTTAGATGAAAATAAGGAGCCACTCCCCACGCCCCTCTGAGAGATATTTGGTTAAAAAGAACACAATGGTGCTCTAGGAGGAGATTCAGGTGATAGGGAGGGGGGGGGGGGGGGGGGGGGTTACCTTGGTTGGTTATTGGCTAATGGTTACACAAGCCAAAAAAATCGTTATGACATCATAAAGTGGCCAAAATCTGATCAGCTCATTTTTCAGACAGGTTTTTATATAAATGGATCAGGACAAAAAGAGAGCGAATCTTTTATCCTGAAACTTTCAGAATCTCTTTACACAGAGGGGACACATGTTTATGTATAAAAGACAAAAAAATAAATAAATAGGTGACCTTTACGGAATCAAATCTGTAAATTCATAATACAGTACATTGTACATATTTTAATACAGGGATTACCACGAGGATTCAGTGAAAGAAGGAGAGTTAAGAGGGAGCAAGAGGAGAGAATGTGGAGACTCAACCAAGCCTGCAGGATAAATGCCTCACTGAGTGGAGAATAAAGTAATGCAAATGATTCTGCATTATATATTCTGTTTATTTCTTCTTCACTCTAACAAGAATAACCGAACAGTGTGAATAGATAAACATGAGCACATATATTAGAAAGAAGGAGATGAACTAGCGAACACAGCCTAAAGCTAATGCAGCCAACCAAAGGCGCGCTGACAGGTGTGGTGAACAGGGGGGGGGGGGGGGGGTCATGTGTTGGTCGGGCCATGACACAATGAGTAGCATGTGGAGAAATCAAGCAGAAGACGTCACCTTCAATGACTTATAGTCCTTTATTTACCAGTATGCCAGGAAAAGTAGGAATACAATTGCCACTATTAACAGAAAGTTTTACAAAAGCAGACATCTAGTTAGTGAACCGGATCATTTGAATCCATTCTGTATTGATTTTTTGCATTTGGCTTTGGGGGTCACTGGATCGTACAGCAGCTAATGTGTTCTTTCTTTCTCATGATTTTTGTTTTTTGTTTACTCCTGGTGTGAAGTGTGGACACCAATAAATCCATAGTGCAGACCTGAGAGAAGCCTTAGTGACCGCTCTCCAAACAAGCATAGATGTGTCATAGCATTTATTTAGCAAAATTTAACATATATTTAAACCCTTGCCTTCACTGTATGACAAAAAAGTGCATTAGTTAGCAGTCATCTAGCAAAAAGTGCTTTACAATAGGATGTTTAATGGCGGACCAACACTGTAAAAAAACAAAAAAAAACACTTGCAAGTCAAGATTGGATCTCCGTCTTGACAAACAGACTCAACAAGTGAGTTCTTCTTTTAAAACAAGGACAGCTACATAAACTCCTCAGACTGGGACTGCGATAGATCATCGTACGCCACTTTCTGAGATGCAATGTCTTCAGAAGTGTAGGATTTTAACGAGTACCAAGAGGTCAATGGAGGGGTGCTCTTAAAATGTCCAAATATCTTCCAATGGTGACAATATGATTTGCAATTCAAAATCTTGTTGGTCTTATTCTGAGACACAGGGCTTTTACTCACTGTGGTATGTCCTAATAAAGAAGCAGTTATATAACCTGCATCAACGATACAAAAGGAAAATAGGATTTACCAAGCTATAGCTAACCTATTTACTAGCATATCATTGGATATTAGTATGTTTTGCATCACGTAAAATAAGTAATGTGGAAACTTAGTTTAAAATTCAGCGTTTGTGTGCACTAGCATGAAATCAGGAGGAAAACAGATTATACTTTCATGCAAACGACACGTATAACACACACCATCAACGAACTGGTTCACCACTTGTAAGTGCCCCTTTTCAGAGAGTGAGTGAGTCAGTAGTGATTGGCTGATTTCTGCTAGACTTAATGACACACATCTCCAAAATCTGAATCTAACTGATTGCCACCATCTGAAGCACCTCATCATTTCCTGACATGTCTCCAAAATCTCTTTTCACGTCCACCTGGGAAATCAGGCTCATCTTCCTTAAAGCGAAAGATGGCTGCCATTGCTACAGTTATGTGTTGATGGGGCTCTAACGAGTGCACACGTTTTATTACAAACAGCAATAAACAGAAGAAGAAAGTGTAAGGCACTCAAAGCATGCTTGCCTCTTAGATTTGAAGTGTATAGGAAATAAGGCAATATCATTCAACTTAAAATTGCTGCTGAAACGAATAAAGGAGAAATAGAAATAAGAAAACACAAAATGATATAAAAGCAATGCAAAATTCACGGAAAACAATGAGATGAATTTAGGAAAATGGAAAACAAACACTGCTGAACCAATCAATAAGGCCTATTGCGTGTGAGCTGACAAGACTGTGGGCTAAATGACGGCAGGTGTGAGGATGCTCATACTGAGGTCTGGGCTTCGGGAGGACAAAAATAGACCCTCTCCATCAGCAGGCCCATTACTGAACACACACTTTCAGGGTCACTGGACCTTCAGTATTTACTCATTGCACTGTCTTTGTCAGTCTGTCACTGCAGCACTCCTTTTGCTGTCTCTCCCTTTTGTTTTTTCTCATGTGTTATCCCTGTTTCTCTGTACATACCAGGCTCCTCTGTGAATGCTCTGTATTTTGCAAAGGGGGAGACAATAAGTTATGCACACACCTGCACTAACACAGTTACGTTCAGCCTGCTGCTTACTATGATATGTATAAATACACCTGAAGCTCATGCATACATTTGCATAGATTACAACCTTGCCTTATAAGGCATTTAACCCTTTCACTATAACTCCCTTTTTATGTGTTATCTCCTTCTATCATAGTGTTAATCCTCTTGTTTCTTTCTCTCTCTTTTGCTCCCCCCCCCTCTCTCTGATTGTCCCTTCTCCCCATTTTCCACTTACCTCCCCCATTCCTTTCCTAGACAATTTCCTTGATCCTCCCCCGTCTCACCCTGTCAATAAAGGTTAGATACTGCTGACATATATAGGGCGAGATGATCTCCTTTTACCTCACACACATGACACACATGACACACAAGCATGCACACTAATTCCAGGATCGATCCAGACAATACCATTGACAACAATGATAGGTATAGCTTACACTGACTTACATGCAATCCAATTGAGGACACAAAACATAAACGTACAAAAATAATGAGAAAGATTATCAGTGGCATTCAAATTGGTGATTTTCTGAAGGTGCTAAAGAGAAGGAAGTTAAAGCCCCGGCCACACAAGGATGATAACGGTCTTATCTGCTACAGTTCACTATCAGATAGACGGTTCGGCCACACGAGGCCGACATGGAAACGCAGAAAACGATAACGATAACGATAACGGGTCCCAAGGTGGGTAGATCTGCAAACGAAACGCTCTGGGGGGGCAAACGGCTCCGTGTTTACGCCTATACGATCATTTCCTGATAACGTTGAAGCAATAGCCCCGCCTCTCCCCACCTCTCCTGCTCAGAGATCAGCTGCTGGTCTGTCAGAAGAGGGGGGGGAGAAGAGAGGCTCCGTTTTTTATTCTTATATTATTATATAGAGTCGTTATTCATTTGTTTTAAAGCTCAATCTAAAACAAAGAAGACCTTTGACCGGCACTTTTCTAATCCTTTGTCCGGAAGATTTAAACTTTACCGTGTCACATGTTGACCGGCGAAAACAAATCTAACTGAAACTCTGCCGCACGGTCCCCTCGTTCCTTGGAAGAGGCGGAGAGGTGGGTGTTTTTCATCTGCTGGTGGACTAACCGGAGAGATTTACAGCAGGAGCCTCGGGGAGGGAGAAAAAGAGCCAGAGCGTCCACAGCGGAGAATAAACAGAAGGGCAACCATGCGCGGAAGTCTTCTTCGCTGCTTTTGTGGCAGGACTACAGCGCCACTTACAGGCCTGGCATATGTACTACAGCGTCTCCAGCGCTTTCGAGCGGTCTCGTGTGAACGGACACGTTTCTGGTGCCTGTTGCGTGTGGACGGAAGACTTTTTTGATAACGATTGCGGTCCGTTTGTGTTATCGTCCTCGTGTGGCCGGTGCTTAAGACAGAGAGAGAGTGAAGGGTCCTGTCAGAGTAGTGGAGCATGAAGGCTGTTGCCCCCCCCCCCCCCTGCCTGTCACTTGGCACTGCTCAGCATGGTACAACAAAACCTGACCACACACTGAGAAAACACCTGCCAGTGGAGAGCGAGGCAGAAGGATCAAGGGTGCACAGCAGCAAAGAAAAGACACAGTTTCCAGCAATCAGATAAAGTGAAGCTCTCGAAGACATGTGAAGGCAGGATTGCATGAAAGAAAGGAATAGATGTCATAGAATTAATATACAATGAGTTTTGAATGGGGACTTTAAACGACTGGAGACTTTAAAAAAAGAAGAAAGAATTAAGGTTGAGGCAGAAAGCCAAGAATAAGGCATGAAAAGAGAGAGGTAGAGATCAAAAGAGTGAGGGTGTGAAATGTGAATGCTGCCCTTGAGTGCGACACTCAGCCCACTCTATCATAACCCCTCAGAGCGCTAACGTTAGCCCTTTACTTAGCATAATAGCTCTCAAGCGCAAACACACTACGACCTTCCTAATTAAGTACTCAAGCACCCAGACAAACCTGAATAATATGATACCGAACTGCTTTAAATATAATAAGAAACAATAGCACTTTGATTAAATAATGAGCAAAAACCTGATGAACAGGTTACTCAAATTAAATGTTTTCTGAAGCTGGACTAAAACATATTCTGCAGATCAAAATTGTGTCCTTTATTTTGCTTTATCCAAAGTAGTAAAGTCAAGTCTAAGTCAGTCCAGCTAATCCCTCTATTGCCCTTTAACCCTATGAAGATACATGCAGGAAACATTGCGTAAAGTAACTTTGTGAATTGATTACTTTAGAGGTTGTGGAGGTTAATGTAGCCACTCAAGTTTAAGGTGAGGACAAAGCAGGCAGGACTGTGCCAGCGGGCGGACACGTGTCTCCTTTCATCTGGCTATCAGATTTCTCATTAGTATACGCTATGTCAGCATAACCTGAGACAGAGTGCACAGAACAGTATGCATGGTTTGTATACATATTAGCACACCCACATTAAGGACATACGCTTTTTTATCCGGCATACAGTACACCAGTTCAAAAATTGAGAGAATGTCATGAAATCCAACACTCCTGAACACTTGTGAATGTCACTCACACACAGACACAGTAGGTGATGCCGTCATGCAGGGTCATGAATATGGAGGCGTGCAGCTGGAATCTAATCATGGGCAAAACTTTATTTCTTGCTTTGAAGATTGAGATAGACACGGAGAAAGAAACGCTGAAAGATGGAGTTATTCTAATGTCTGTAGTCAAATATACAAAATATACAGCATAGGTTTAATCCTGTATGAAAACCATGTGAAAGGGGAAACGTTTACAGTATGAGAAGATTATGTGATCATACACAGACATCAGAGATTTTTACGATATATGATTATTTTACAGATTCATAACTGAAATATGTTTTTTCAAATTCACTAGTAAAACACGATGAAGGGGAAAAGAATTGGAAGTATTCAGGCGATCGGTTTGAGTGCACATTCTCTCTCTCTGTCTCATCCTAACTTTCAATTTGTGGCCTGTCAACTTAATTTTCAAGACTCCAACATACTGGCACAACACATCACAGCAACACACACACACACCACACACACACACACCACACACACACACACACACACACACACACACACACACACACACACACACACACACACACACACACACACACACACACACACACCACACACACACACACACACACACACACACACACACACACACACACACACACACACACACACACAACACACACACACACACACACACACCACACACACACACACACACACACACACACACACACACACACACACACAGAGATCTGCAGTGTGTAACTCACAGGGTGAAGTTCTCCTCCAGGTAACAGCGGTTCCTCAGTAGCCCCGCCCACAGCTGCACGCCGATGATACCGAAGATGAAGAAGACGAAGAAGCACAGCAGCAGCACGTTGCCCAGCATGGGCAGAGTGTCGAGCAGCAGGTTCACCAGGATACGCATACCTGTGTGTTTCAGAAAATCAATCAATCAATCGTCAAGGATTATCTCTGGTTTATACCGTAATCAAGGATATTTGCATATAGATTGCTTTGTTGCACAACTTCTCTTCTGTATGTAGGACGCTACTGAAAGTAGGGGATAGTGGTGGTCTAATGGATAGTGAGGTGGGCTGAAGATCGGAAGGTTGTGAGTTCAAATCCCGCCTGGAACACCACCACTAGTGTGCCCTTGAGTAAGGCACTTAGTCCTTAGTTACTCCAGGGAAATTGGCCATTGTAAGTCGCTTTGGATAAAAGCGTCAGCTAAATGAAATGTAATGTCTCTTTACATTAAACGGCATATTACTGAAAAACTACAATGAAGGCCTCATTCATTTTAAGCTACTAAATGTTTCTACTAATATGTTTAGCAGGAACTCATTGCTTCTTTCTCTTACCACACAAAGATCATAGCGAGGTAGTGGATGGTTGATTTGCCAAATGTTGATTTAAATCCTGAATCCAACATGTGGTAATATTAAGGCTACTGAAAAAGCATTGTTTAAGGTTGGAAAAATCCTGTTTTGGGTTAAATATTTGAAAAAGTAAGCCTCAAATCATTCTTGACTCTTTTTATATTTGAGCAAGCATGGCATCATTCCCTCACATTTAACATGTTCTATGATACAGTATATATATATTGTCCTGTGAATATTTTGGGACTTTCCAGCTAAAAACATTTACTCATGATGCTGATATAAGGTGAATCAGAGTAGTATTACATTCCCTTTTGAATATATTTGCTGTTACAATTAAGTAATTTAATGGAATATGTCTGACACACCCACTACAGCCTTTCAAATTCTTCTAATGACAGCAGACTGACTTGAAAACACATACAGTATGACGTCCACCTTGTGAACAAACATGCTATTGAGGCTACAGGAGGTCTTATTCATGATTAGATGAACCCTAGTTGCAGAAATAAATGCCTGTCCCCTGTCAACCAATGATGACCCTGTCCCCTGTAGATGGGTCTGTCCTGCAGTGATGACATATTGAGATATAATGACAGCTGATTGGACTGGGATGAGAGACCGAGGTGAAACCCACTGATGAGATCACAGCCACCCCTTACTGACACCTGAGGGAGGTGTGTGTGTTTTGGTGTTACTATGAGTGTGATTATATGTGTGTATGCCTCTAATTATCTGACGTGTGTGTGTGTGTGTTTCATTGCCATGCTGGGATTCGTGAATAACAACTCAACAGTAGGTTAATGTGTCATCAACATAACAGTGCATCTAAACTGCCAACAGCCTGAATGACAGGAGAGAAGCTGAGAGAGAGAGAAGGCGAGGACGAGAGAGATAGATCGTTGATGATGATTTACACACATGTAGACAATATTTACAAGACTGCAAATGTATGACGTCAATGCACCACACACAGACCATAAACACTGTGTAAACAAATAATGGCATAAGAAAAGTCCCCCCATTCTCTCAAGTGCTAATCAATTCTGCATCTGTATAGTCAAGTGATTATGTGATTGTTTAAAATGTGTGAGCAAGTGTTTCAGGCACACATTTGTCTAAGTCAACATACAGTACAGTGTGCAGATGCATGTGCATAATTGGTTGATTTTAATACAAGTTGTTTGTAAAGTATTTCAATCAATGTAAAGTGTGGTCAAAGTTGCAGTTTTTGCTTAACTTTTGGAATAATGTCAAGATCAAGCTTGACTTTGGCCAAGTTCTCTGCAGAGAAAAGACAACGTTCAACAATGACACAAAGACATGAAATGTATGTGTCAATTCTGAGTTGGAAAGCAATAAAGCAATAAAACTGAAATGTAGGAAAAAATGTTAGGACAGATCTTTCTTGAGGCGAGTTCGCACTCATCTTCCTCCTCTGGCTAATTTGTCTCGTCAACTGGTATTAAATGGAGAGCAGTAGTGTCTCTGGTGCGTTTGTCTCTAGTGCGTATGTGTCTCTTGTGGCGGCTGCAGGCGAGTCTAAATGTGTTTGTTCCCCAGGGTCCATGTCATTAGGCCACTGTTCCATTAGGCCTAATTGTGTGGAGAGAGAAAGAGACGAATGGAGGGGGGGGGGGTGGCGGGACAAGAATAAGTCAAAGCCCAAGGGTGTGCCGAAATAAAGGGTAGTGCTAACATAATAAAGGGAGCTTAAAGGTGGGGTAGGTAAGTTTGAGAAACCGGCTCGAGATACACTTTTTGTTATATTCCATGGAATGTTCTTAACACCCCGATAGCAATGAATATCTTAAGTGCTTTGACAAAAAATCCATAAAAAAATGTCATCTGTGGAAGCCGTAGTACTGTAAAAAGCACGACCAATCATTTTTCCGCTCCTTCACCGCCTTCCTCCATCTCTCTGCTTCCTGCTGTTTCAGGATAAAGATGGACGCCTCCCCTTGCGCCACAATGGAAACACATTTACAGCTGTATGCCTGCTCTATTTACTAAACCAGTAGAGTTCTCTTTTCATCCTCCTAACACTAGTTTATGAAGTGTTTGTCTTTCCCACTCCAATTCTGTCTAGCACTCCCACTATCTGACACCCTTTCCACCAAAAAAGAAGTCTAACACAACAGCACAGCACTATTATCTATCATTGTGTAGGAGGGTTACACATTGAGGTGTGTGAGGGGTCAGGATGTGCTAGTGCTCCCTGTGTATCTGTGGGCAAAATAATCACCCAACAACACAAAGGTACAAATAGCTTTATCCCCATGCTTCCCACGCCATAATGGGATCACTGATACTGGAGGAAATCAAGCAATCACACAGTCATGCTTACTGATCTTAACGTAAACAATGAATGATGATGCAACAAAAGTTATATGAACAGGTATAAATAACATAAACTATGAGTAGGCTTGTGCAAACAAACACAAACACTATATCTATATCAACTACACATATGCTAACAAACCCACATATCTGGAGATTTATGCTATAATGCATAATCATCTCTAGAAAAGCAGATGTGTCTACAATCTGTGCACTCGCTAAAACACTATGCCCACTCTACTGCACACAGTTTCTTATAAAACCCCCTGAGGTTTAGTGCAGTTTGTATTCTTATATCCAATGCGCTGTTGTTTTGGCTACGAGCAGGTTCTTAGTTAATGGCTCCTCCTGAAAGACAGCTTAAATGTGTGAAAAATGTAAATCTATCCGACACTGAAGACAGACTCTTTTTTCAGGTAATCACACTGAATAGAATCTCCCACGATTGGACATTTACGCGGGGAGCAAAAATCAGTTATGTTTGTTCGGGGTGGAGAAAAAGCGATGTTTTCTTTACTGAAGTAAGCTGAGTACGTAAAATAGTTAGCTTTAGATGTTGGTTTGTGAAAATACAACAAAGACAGCTGAGCTTGTGGACTAAAGGGTTGGAACAGCCCAAACAAGAGGACACACAGAGAGCCAGAGAGCATCTAAGAAGCACACCCAAACACATCCACTCTAAATGGTCCTTTCTCGCCCTCACATGTACTGTAATCGTTTTTTTTCATTTTTTTTACAGAATCTGTCACCAAGGCCCAAACTGAATCAGACCATAAGCGACATCTGCTGTGGACTCATGTCATGATTGTTCAGAAAGACACTTCAGTTACCTAAAGATATTGATGAAGAGTTTCAAGTTGCTTTGTTTGACCTTTATAAGAAATGGATTGCACGAAACTTTTCTATTTAAAACTGAAAAAGAACAAAACATAAGCAATTAAGTTAAATAAAAAAGTATTAAATCACATAAATGACATTGTTTTTGTATCAAAAACTTTACAAACTGCATTATCACAATTAGCATTAGGCGCTAATGCTTTGCTCACTACTAAAGTGTTGGAACTACGTGATGAGACAAGTCTGAACCTAGCTTGTGAAGGCTAATTGGTGCTTAAAATGATTAAAAGCTGCCTGTTAGGGCAGCAGGACAGCAAAATCAATAGGAGTGGGAACGTTTTTTCCAAGAACAGATTTTAGATGTGAGGAACAGGGTTATGGTCACGGACTGATCAGTGGAGCAGCATTAATAGATGGTTTGTAAATCTGATAAAGCTGTGACTCAGGGCCCGAGCGGGCCGCGTGATTGAGCATAAGATGAATGTTTAATGAGCCCCGTGGGGTACAGGTGGCACAAAAAAGCCAGAGATGTAATACATATACATGAATTTCCATGCAGATGCGTTTGTGCCTAATTGGAACTGACAGACTCACAGTAAGAGAAACTACAAGCACAAACTCCCAAAAAGTCATAGTCATATGAAAGCAAAGTTTGCCTCGCAGAAGTACACAGACAAAAACTTTAAATGTTCTTACTTGGCACTCTGTTGATGGCTTTGAGGGGCCGAAGGACCCGCACTGTCCGAATAGCCGAAAGGTTGATGTTCTGCAGGTCCAGAGAGTACTCTACCATCCTGCATAAACAGACAGAGAGAGAAGCAGAGGTGGAAGAACATCATTGAACCTTTCTGTAGTTCTATGAGCTTCTGGTGTACAATATGACAAAAAGGGATTACCAGCTAGAGCAAAGAGGCCTCTTCTCATGATTTAACATCAATGGTCATTCTTTGATCTAGTCTCACCTGCCCCCTCTCGGAGCTGTGTGAGCTTCAACAGTATGGGAAATGTGTGTACCGCAAAGAGCGTGGCAACACTCAAGAAAGAGTGTTGGGGGGGATAAAGTGACAAAGCATCAAAAGGGGAAGAGAACATGAAAGGGAGGTGAGGAAGAGAAAGAGGGAGCGGGAAAAGAGGGATTCATTCTATTCTAAGTGTTGCCTGCAGGATGTTGTGGCTCAGTCAGAGCCTGGCATCTGTTAGCAAGTCATTGCCACAGCATGGCTAAGCTGTTTGTGCCCCCAAACCCAAACCACTTTCACAGGAGAATGGCCACGGTTTGCCATGTATGTGTGTGTGTGTGTGTGTGTGCGTGTGTGTGTGTGTGTGTGTGTGTGTTAAATCCTGATGTATACATTTTAATGTAGTACATGTTTGTTATCAAAAACCGAGAGGTATTTCAATTTGTTGAGACAGTGAATGACTTTACCCAGCATACTGTATGTGTTTTAAATGAGAGCCAAGAGGACACTGTGTGCATGTAGTAGCACTGTGTAATAGTTTCTAAGCGTGGCTGTGGGTAGAATTGATGTCCCCAGGGCTACAACAGTGTTGGGACAGCATGATATCAACAGCAGCAGCACCACAAGCTAATAACACCCATAGCACACCCACTGGCTTTAACAAAACAAGTCAAGCTCGCTGTCTCTCACATAGACTTATGAACCTTGTCATATTCGATATTGTTATACTTTATTAATCCCACAGGGACGTTCTTTCCTTTTGCCCTTCACCAATGCCACAGAGTCACCAGCAGCATAACAGCCGAGCTCAAACTTGAGTGGGATTACTCGTTGTAACAAGGGGTTTGAGCTGCAGTACAGCTGACAGGCAGCCGTAGAAACATCTCATCATTTATTCAAATGCATGTGAAATACATTTGCCAGGGCATGAAGGGAGCAGTATCACATTTTATGGTTAAATTATTATGCCTTTTGGACTTGGGGCAACAGTCAAATTGTGTTTTTGTAAAACTGTAAAAATAAAAATCCCCAGACCTTAAGCAGATACATAATCGTCACCAGGATGTAGGGGCAGTCGCAGACCTTTTCTTTTACCCACTATTGATAACACGTTTTACTAGAGCACCCAATTTTTCATCAATCTATGCTCTCGAAATGCACCCGACTGATGCATTTAACCATCACATTTACAAAAAGTCTGAGATGCAGCCACCACAGACTCACATAATCCTGTGGAAAACACTATACTCTATATACTCTATACTAAATTACACTTTCTGGTGTTAATTAAAGTGGACCTATCATGCTATATTTGAATAATATAGTGTAGGACCATACCTATATAAGGCATATTTATACTTTTTTCTTTTCAAAATACCAAACAGATCATGCATTTTAGCCATGCCTCATTTCGTTCAATTTGCACTTTTTTTTAGCTCTGCTCTGCAAGGGCAGATTCAGTGAGAACAGCACCACCTACAGGCCTGGCATATGTACTACAGCGTCTCCAGCGCTTTCGAACGGCAATGGCCGTGGCTGTCTCCTCCTGATTGGTGGAGTTGGCCCAATAGCCGTAGCGCCACTGTCCTGATGTCAGGACAGTGTTCAAATCTGGATCAGTTTTTATCAGATCCGTTGCAGCCCCTTTTTTAGAGATTTGCGTATTAGAGAGTGGGTGTTTTCTGACACTTGGTGAGTTCCCTGGAACACCGGGGACACATATTCATGTATAAAAGACGTACAAAAGTGCATTTTGCATGATAGGTCCCCTTTAAATGAACATTTTGTTTCCTTACCTCTCATTGCATGTCACTGACCTCACGCCCAAACTCATAACTATATAGGCCCCCATCCCGGTGTTGTTGAGTACAAAAACAGCAGCTTGAGGAAAATGTCACAGTTTAGGAAAGAGCCTCACAGCTGTTTGGGGGCAGGATCTTCCAGCTAGGTAAAGTGGTGTTATAAAAACATTACAGTATCCGTACTCACTCTAATGATTTGATGTGGGCTGCTTAGAGAATGTATTACATGTCAAATTAAATGATTACAACATACATGTCCTTTCTTTAGTGAGCTCAAGGGCAAAAATAAAGACTTACATGTTCTAAATGTTGCTTGCTTAAGTTACAGGGTGATAAATAAACTATTAGATGGATGACTACCAAAGAGCACAAACAATTGCACAAGTGAGCACATGAATTGTTTGTTAGTGACCCAATTGCATCTGCATGTGAGGGAGAGAACAAAAGAACACAGATGTGCCTGTGTGTGTGTGTGTGTGTGTGTGTGTGTGTGTGTGTGTGTGTGTGGGTGTGTGTGTGTGGTGTGTGTGTGTGTGTGTGTGTGTGTGTGTGTGTGTGTGTGTGTGTGTGTGTGTGTGTAGGTGTGTGTGTGTGTGTGTGTGTGTGTGTGTGTGTAGGTGTGTGTGTGTGTGTGGTGTGTGTGTGTGTGGTGTGTGTGTGTGTGTGTGTGTGTGTGTGTGTGTTGTGTGTGTGTGTGTGTGTGTGTGTGTGTGTGTGTGTGTGTAGGTGTGTGTGTGTGTGTGTGTGTGTGTGTGTGTGTGTGTGTGTGTGTGTGTGTGTGTGTGTGCTCTATAGAAGTGTGTCTTGCTGTACCCATCAAACAGGCCGCTGTGTTTGGGAGGGTAATTAGTGGACCGCCGGAAGCGTCCTTTTTATGATTGTTCTCTATTTTTCCCATTCCTTTTTTGCTTGTGACGCCTTCATCTCATTCATGCTTTCATGTGACTGGTGTTTGTGTGTGTGTTGATATCGATATGAAAGGCAGAGCTTCAGGGGAAACCCAGGGTAGAACTTATGATAAGTATTCAGAAGCACATTTAAAAAGTGAGAGACAAGGAAAATAAAAAATATATTTCAATTGTAAAATGTGACTTTACTGTCAAATGAACAACATGTCTTCATGAAGATCCTCAGTGGAAGCATTGAAGTTAATAAAAGCATTTTATCTGAGGGATTTACATAAAAAAAGAGAATTCTTGCACTTGACAACTTAATAAAATATCCGCAACTGCAAGGACAACCGAATAAAGTAATGATATTTGCAAACTACAGCTTCAGTGCAGACTTGTTTTTGTCTTTTTAATCAAGCATTACAGCCAAGCTACTGAAGGCTAGAAGGGCAGATCCACACAATGTAATCTGGTTGTTTTTTCTTTGCAAATTGATATATATGAGAAGACTGATTCCACTGAGTCAAGGTCAGCTCCTTAATGAGATGGAAATATACAAACATCAGACAGTCTTGCTCAGTGTGAAAAAGTATTTTATTGTTTCTTTAACCTTGTAAATATTTTGAATGTGGCTTATTTGAGAACAACTATGGAAGGCAAGTCTGACTTTATGTAAAAAGGGTCAATCCTATTCATGGATCAAGAATCTCAGTGGACACATGCTGCGATATTTAGATTATACTAGGCAGGCTGGGAAAACTAAGACCCAGTGCGGTGTAATGGGGTTAAATAACATACAGTATAGAAAATACACTGTGAAGCAGAAGCATGAAGCTTCCTTGAGAGCCTGTCTGGACGAAAGCCTGGTCAGTATGGGGTCTGTAGGGCACAAGACAAGGGAATATGGCCATCCAAGCATGTGAAAAAGGAAAGAGAGGCGGGGGGGAGGAGGGCCAGAGAGCGAGGTGTGCCCATGGGTAACAGACATGGAGCTCGTAGCAGACTGTCGTCTGTGATTTGGCCTGGCAACTTTGGCACTGCCCTCTGCAATTAGCCTAGACGCTAATCTAATGGATGCTGCCAAGAGTGAAATGAAGACAGAGGCGTTCGCACAAGCCACAAACACAGATGAGCGCATACACAGATAAAACAAACTCTAAATGCATAAAATCACAGTATCTAATGTCTGTGTGTAATTATGTGGCACACACACACAAACGCAAACAAACTATGGGCATCCACTGGGGACGAAGTGATTCAGCTCAAATGAAGATGAATGTCCCTCCACCTGCCCTGGTGAGTCTGTTGCTCTCCCTTTGTTTGTGTGCTATTATATCAGCCATTTTCTCTCTCCCCCACACACACACACACACACACACACACACACACACACACACACACACACACACACACACACACACACACACACACACACACACACACACACACACACACACACACACACACACACACACACACACACACACACACACACACACACACACACACACACACACACACACACACACACACACACACACACACACACACACACACACACACACACACACACACACACACACACACACACACACTTTATCGCCCATGTCTGAGCCTCTGATTTCACTCGGTTCAGAGCAGGTGTTTGAACAGGTGTGTTTGCTTTTGTTTCGTGCACATGCATCCATCTAGCATGTGTGTGTGTGTGTGTGTGTATGTGTGTAACCGCTATAAGAGAAAGCCTTTTCGAAGTACACTCTTTAAGAGCAGTCAAAACTTATGCAATAACTTACACAATATTTGAGGATAGATTTGTCCAGTGTTGTGGGCAGGTGATATGGATCTCTCTGCAGTGGGTGTCTCTCTAAACCTCATTTTTGAATTCCCAGTTTCCTTCCAGTCTTTCATTCCTTCATTTATTTCCCTCTTCCACGAGAACCATTTTTATTGCAGCTACTCACAGGACTTAAGTATTACACTATATTCCGGTGTTAATTAATGGGCAATGATTAAAAAAAAATGACAGCACTTTCTCATCTTTACCCTAGTGAATACCCTATACTGTGTCTTATTGCAGCCATGTTTCTGTCATACTGTAGTGTCTGTGGCAGGGTACAAGAGGTTGCCATATGGTTTAATTCTCAGAGGACTACCCACACATGCCCCGTCTACTGTCACAATGTTGCTTACAAAATGAGTGTGCCTGAAATGCCTTCAAGTATTTATTTGAAAGGGGAAATGTCTGATGAAATTCATTGTACGGTTTAAATGTTTCTTTTACCTTGGCATGAATGCGACAGATAGATATAACCTGGTTTATGTCGTTAAGATTTTGAATTTTTTCATTAAATGTAATCAAATCTCTAAGAATCAATTCATTCATTTTCAAACTCATTTATACTACAAATGATTAAAATGGTTTATTGTATGATTATTAATACGAAGATAAAAGCTGAACTTGCCTTGTACAGTATGAGGATAAAAAATGAATAATGACAATGCTTTGTTCACATCATGCAGTGTCCTTCTGGTACTTTTAGTGTTAACACTGACATAAAAAGCAGGAGTTGTAAACAGGAAGTCTCTTGAGGTGACAGGCCACTCATTCATTAGACAGTTTTGGTGACCTGTCATCTTGCATCATCAGCGCTACACAGACTCGCAAAGAAGAAAATGTGAAAATGTCCGGGGTGACTCAAAATCTCACTGCACCTAACAGCACTTGACGGCTTTATTAATCTTCCCTCTGATTTGAATGAAGAGCTTAGAAAAACCCCACAAACAAACAGTTTAAATATGTAGTCGAGACTGAGCTGAAGTAAATATGACAGCGCTACAATCAGAGCAGGAAAAAAGTCCTGCCGCCAGCAAATCATTTAACTATTACGTCTGGATTTCAAGAGCATATGCTGCTAGAGTTTGTTTTGCCAACCTGATCTGCCCCAAACAATATGACATACCTCCTGGTTAACTCTAGCATTATGATATAGCTGCTTACCCAGACATGACGATGAAGAAGTCCAGCCTGTTCCAGGTGTCTCCCAAGTAACAGCGACGGCCAAAGATCCCAAGAGCCACCATCTTCACCACCATCTCCAGTGCGAAGAAGATGTAGATGAATGCATCGAAGGCCTGTGAGAAGACAAAGGGCGATAAAGATGGAGGAAGTTAGAAAAAGATGCCTTTGCCCCAAGCAGTTGTCAACGTTCCTCTTTGTTTTTTTTTACCCCTAACCCTTTCTTAATAAATGAAGAGCACTTAAAGGTGGGGTAGGTACGTTTGAGAAACCGGCTCGAGATACCCTTTTTGTTATATTCCATGGAATGCTCTTAACATCCCGATAGCAATGAATATCTTAAGTGCTTTGACAAAAAATCCATAAAAAAATGTCATCTGTGGAAGCCGTAGTACTGTAAAAAGCACGACCAATCATTTTAGCCGGCCCGGCTAAAATAACTGGATGGCCTACCTGCCTGTCAGCCTTCCATCTGTGCACAAACTTATCTCGTGCCCTCATTGGTCATGTGCGCGTTCGTGTGTGTTGGAGGAGGGGCTCTGTAAGGAAGTGGCAGATTTTTTCCGGCTGTGTATTTTCAAATTCTAGCGCACTCGAGCTGGTTTCTCCAAAATTACCTACCCTACCTTTAATATTTCTTGTGAGGATAAATTATCCATAGCTGTTTTTAAAGCACTTCTTAGATGTTAACGGTAAACCTGCATGAAAAAAAGAAATATTCAATATAATAGAATGAAGCAGACCTCCACCAAGGTTGTTTCCATTACTGAAATGTATTTTGTGTATCCACCATGTGATTAGGTTCTGTTCCCAAATGTAATGGATTCTTCCTCGACCCATACTACACCCTTTGATCTGGATTGATTTGAACCACTATTTCTCACATTCGCCTGATGACGAACAAACAAACCAATCTGGAAACTTCATATAGGACACTGGAAAACCTAATGTGACAGATGCTCTGATACAAACATGTATTGATACTGACCCCTTTTTATTTAAAGAGACATATTATGCTCATTTTCTGGTTTATAAATATATTTTGGGTTTCTACTAGAACATACTGTTTGTACATGCTTTAAAGTAAAAAAAAAAAAAAACTATTATCATACTGTCAGACAAGCTCAATATTAGCGCCTCTCTGTTTAGCTCCACTTCCTGAAAGTCTGTAGCCAGAGTGGTCAGCGGAAAGTGACTGTCACGGCCATGTAGCGCCACTTTCTACAGATATATGTATACAGTAGTTGTTACATCCCAAACCAACAATGGTTCTGATGGCTCGTTTAATGTCACATTTTCTCAACATGGGCTCTGTCATTTTTTAAAATACTTTCACAGCATTTGTCTTGCACCGAGCCTTGTTTAAAAGCCATGGAAATATTACTTGTTTTCTTTCTATCTTACGTTAAGGTCCTTAAAATACTTAAAAATCAACCATTCTCTTCTATATCCAGTCATTCAAAGGAAGTGTTGAAATTTTTTAACTCTTAAATGTATTACACAGCAATGATTATGATGATGTGTTTTTATGTTATGAAACACTGGTGTCTATAGCTTGAGCCAATGTTGCTGTTAATTTGCATTGTGATTTGAATGGGCTATATCTGTATTTTTGCAACGAGAACATGTGTTTGTACTTAAGTGGTACCACAAAACATATGGTGCTCACTGTGAACCAACCCACGCAGCAATACTGGAATCACAGGAAAAGTACTGTAAGAAGTGAGGAGGAAAGATAAATTGAGGGAGATCCAGGTCAAACCTCAGAGAAAACAAAGATACAGAGAAAAGAGACAGAAGTAGACACATGTAGAGAGAGACAGATGAGCTCATATCTCTGTCCTGCCTGCATTATTATGTTCAGATCACTTGCTAAACCTCCTATTGTATTTTCGGAACAAAACTCTTCCCCAGTGCTTTGCCCTGGGCTGTGCGACTGTGTTTACTGCCTTGTTACATATTCCTACTACATATAACTCAAGCTTGAACCTCTTTACACAGAGTCTTTGAAATTCAAAAAAGCAATAGAGCGGCACAGCTTGTTCATAAGTCATTGGTCATAATTTGGATTTAAAATGATTACAAGCTATTTTGTTTGTTCCAAACCTGTCAAACATACACAGACTGTGCAAATAAATACACATACACTATTCCCGAAAGAATAGTATTTTGCTACTGCTTGCTTTGCTGACCAAATAAAATAGTGGCCAAAAGAACGACCCCTTTAAATTGCTCTTCAATCAAATAAACTTTATATAGCCCAATATCCCAAATTACAAATGTGGCTCCGGGGGTTTTACAATCTGCAGCCTAAAACACTCTTTGTCCTTGATATCTTGCAGTGGACAGGAAAAACTCCCCCGATAATAACAGGGGGAGAAAGATCTAGGAAACTTCAGGGAGAGCAACTGAGAACGGTTCCCTCTCACAAAAATACAAATAATCTCATTCCGACAAGTTGAAGGCCAATAAATGTATATTCAAAGAAGACTTTCACAGATAGATAAATGCAAAGAAGTCTCTGAATGTCGAAAACTTAAGATCACATGTACTCAACAACTACATTTGACTTTGATGCTACAGTGAGGACATATGCTCTGGACAAAGAGTGTGTGCCCCTGACAAATCAGATTGCACACACCAATAGACATGCTGCAAAGGAGAAACTACTTTCCACAAGTACTTTGAGGTTATTACTCTCTCTGGGTTTCAGGGCGAACTTAAATGACAAACTAGAGACTGGACAATAACCCACAGCAGGCTAAGAAGCACTGATATGTGGTACATTTGGACAACTAGGAGGAACATGCTTTAATAGAAAAAGAGAGAGTTTTTTTTAACTCAGATTGATGAAAGATTGCAAGATGGTGTGTAGCGATAGAGCTCATTGAAAAGGATAAATGGTGTGTGCAATTTTGTGGATTTATTCACGTTGCACCACTGGCAGTAGCAGGGGTTGTTGTTTTGAGTAAAGAATTGCAAGAACAGAGAGAAGGGTTACTAAGAGCTACTGTATTTATTCCCTTTTTAGTCCCTGGCCATTGTCAGAAATGTAATTTATAGGGATCGAGATATCTAGGCCTATGAGGAAGTTGAAGCAAATGTGTGCACTTGTGGGTATGCATACACGTTTGTGCAAAAGACTGTACATGTTGAAATCCGTGTGTTTTTTTCTGTGCACTCATGGCTTTGCGGGCATGCCTTGTAATGCATTTTGAAGCCGACATGTGTGTTCCACCCCTGCTCATTCTCTCTCGCACACACAGAGCTGGCAGCATGCAATGGGAAAGATGAGAAGATCAGTCTCACATGCTGTTTAAATGATGTTTTGATAAATAATGCAGCCTCCACGCTTCACATGTAATCTGACGTTTGGCTGCACTAGTCGGATCCCTGTCGAGCAAGAGGGGAATGAATTCATCATAGATATTTGTCACCACCGCCAGCTTCCTCTTCAGTCAGGCTATCAGGTTTTATCGCCAACATGATTTGTAAAGAGGTTATGGCTGCCTCGTGATGGGCTCTTTCATGATTTGAAATAGGAGATGGTGTGGTAGCTAGCTACTTCATATGCTGTCATTGTGCTGCTTATTTGGCAAGAGGAAAGGACGTGGTAAGTAGGTCATCAGGATTGGGAAGGTGGATCATTTAAAATAAAATGATGTATGCGCCTCGTACTTGTGGACTTGAGTGAATGACGAGAGTGATCAGTGTATCAATCCAAAGGCACCGTACAGACAAATGTTCATTTCACACATAATGCCTTTGTTTGTTTTTTTAAAGATTTGACGCTCCATTAAAAAGGTGGCACAGGTGCGGATTTAAAAGTATAATGAGTCCTGCACCGTTCCAAACACAACTCTCCATTTATGGGAGATGACTATATAAATCCTGACATTATTATGCAGAGGACCTCCACCTCCTCACAGTTTGTAGAATTTCATCCTCGACTGGAGCTGTGAACTTGTTGACTTGTTCTTGGCCATGCAGATAGTTTCTGTTCTGTGCCCATGTATGGATAAATGTGCCATTAACAACATATTAATGCTCTCCAAATAAGTTGTTTTTCCAAGAAAAGTATACTAAAGTTACTCAAGATAATCAACAACCCTATTTGTTTTCAGGGGGACCATAGTTTTCAGTTCAGTTGGCTAACAACGCACAATCAGGAGGGCGTGTTTTTAAGTCTGGTTTGTTTGTCAGCAAGATTATGAAAAAAACTATTTTATGAAGCTTTTTCGGAAGGGTGTGGAATGGGCCAAAGGATAACCCATTAAATTGGAGGTGGATCCTAACCAGTGGGCAGATAAACTGAATATTGTTCATCTCAATAACTAATCCTATTTTCAAAATGACATACCAAAGTCATTTTGACAAAATGGAAGTCAGGACACCAGTGAAGAGTCTTCATTCTTCCCATACAGACATAAGGGAGGTATTTATTATTCATCTAACTCTGGAAGAAAATACAGTCATTCCCTACAGTTCATCCAAACTTTTAAGTTTGATTGTATTTTTGAACATTGTGTTCCACATAGCACACAATAAACCCATTTACTGAGCACTTGAACTCCTGAAGACTAGACCTTTGTTTTGTTTGGGAAATAACCTTTTGTATAGATATCTGAACATAACCTGGAGTAATGTTTACATTGTGTGTGGTTGTCTCTTTCCTCCAGTTAGCGAGGTGGGGGGTACATCTTTTCACAAAGGGGCCCCAGAAGCATGTGAGGGCCACTCTTAACAATCTCAGCTATGTCAGCAAAATCCCTCCTGTTACCATTAGCAACCAGCAGAACAGGACCCCTCATACTACCTGGGGAGACAATATGCTTGTTAGAGAGCTACAGTAAAGGATGGAGGAAGGAAGAGAGAGAGTGTGTATGGTGGGGGAACGGGATCATACAGAAGGAGTAAAGATGGCATTGGAAGGAGAAGAAGGAGGAGGAAAAGAGATACTGAAGCAGGAAGATGTGTCGCACAGTTGTAAAAACTGCAGTGAATGCTTTTTTTTAAATCTCTGCGCAATGAAGAGAAAATCCGATGAGATAAATAAACCTATTACAGTCTGGTCTGGGGGGCTTTATTTGATATTATAATCCACTCTAATGTGCTGTAGGCAAGTGAGATATGGTGGTGCAATCAGTCAACATAGCAGCACACAGGAGGAACCAACAGCCGTCTCCTCCGGTTACTGTAGACAGATTTTCAATATCAATGGACATTAAAAACCACCAACAAAAAGCATGTGAGGCAGAAGGTTGTTCTTGTCACACCTGATATTCAGCCTGCCAAATGTTCTTCATTGAAAAGCAGTTAGGAGCCCAGAGGAACACACCGAATCCTCATCCAGTTTGCAAATTACACAGAACCCACATTAGCCCTACACGGCGTGCGGACAGAAACAAAAGGGATATATCTGCAATTTGGCAAGAAAACAGACAAACAACAAAATAATAGGTGTTCTAACATGAGAGAAAATCAAGCTGTTATTAATTCCTTTTGTCAATGATGACCTGGTACAGGATCAAGCAAGCGCATGTGCATAAAAACACCAACCTACAGGAGAGTACTGATTCTACTTCATGACAATCATCTTGAGAATAAGGTGCATGGTTTCCCGTAACACACGCCTGCACCTAAAGGACAGAAACGCTTATAGGCCTTGGGGAATTTGAAAGTCGGACCCAAGAAAGGAGATAGATAGGATAGAGCGGCCAAGTTTCCCGTGAGCAAGGCAATGAATCCCCAAACTGCTCCAGAGGTGCTGTACTATGGCTGACTCTGCACTGAGACCCCTTTGAAATACATACATGTCTTGCGTGTATTGTCGTCCAGGATGCACATGCAATAAACAGATTTCAACTTCATTTTGTAGATCTTGTCATTTAAAAGTAAACAACTTCAGGCTAGAACTTGATTATGAAAAATGGCTGTGGCATTTGTGGCCGTCCAAAACCAGAAATTCAACTGCAGGTACTTGTCTCCACAAATGTATTCTCATCACAAAGTGACACAATCACATGCAGCTCCACAAGACTATATTATAACTAACTGAGTCTTTTCCCTGTGCAGAGAGCAAATGCAAATATAAAGCTTCCAGGTGGATACATTCTGGCTGCCGTGTTAGACTGTATCACAGCTGGAGGGACAGTGGTGAGCTTCTCTGATTTGATGACAAATCGTAGATGGTTTTGTTCTATATGTCATCAGTGCAGTGACATATTGCTCTGTCACACAGGCCAACACACAGAGGACTAGCTTACCTGCAGTATCTGGCAGCGGTCCGAGGTGCAGTCGATGTTCTCACAGGGCTGGTACATGCCCAGTGTCACACAGTTGAGCACGATCACCATGATGCTAATCCTCTCGAACCACGTATTAACAGGACTGGGGTTAAGGAGCATAGCAGCTGAGGAGAAATGCACGGCACACACATTTCAAATTGGCTTGTATGGATTGATGGATGGAGCTGAAATTGAACACAATCTGGAAGGATTTCACATACATCAATGTTATGAATATGACACATTATCTGATAAGTATACATTTTAATAGAATTTGAAGCAGTTTGATTTAAAGATGGAAAACCAGCGTTTTTGTGTACTCATCCTAACTGACAATATCAATTTAACTGCTAACTAAAAAAACTAGAAAGCATAAGAAAAAATGAAAAAAACCAATATGAGAGATTATGATTCAAAGCAGCACGATGCAGACTGCCTGTAAATGATCTTCTAAACTCTTTAAGCGGCTTCATGCCTGCTAACTTAAGGCCGCAGGGTGCGTTTGTTTTAACTCCCACGCAGAGTGAGTGGGTGGGGGGGTTATCTCCGTGTTAACAGGATACAGTAGTCCTAAGGAAAGGATAATATCCCAACAGGGAACAAAGACGGACATTCCCAAATCAAAAGCCCTGGGTAAACGGTGAGGTGCGCGGCAAACTGAAAGCGCGCACTCTCGCGCACACAGCGGGAGATTTGGAGGAGTACAGGAAGTCTAGGTATGATCTCCGGAGAGCAATAAAAAATGCAAAGAGACAGTACAAAGAGAAGGTGGAATCTGACTTCAAAGGCTGTAACACTAGGAATATGTGGGCGGGACTAAGGACAATGACTGACTACAAAGGAGCAGCGGGGGGTGCTGCGGGAGTGTCTGCGTGCGCATCTCTCCCAGATGAGCTAAACAGTTTTTTTGCACGCTTTGAGAGCAGCCAGGCTGTGGAGGTACAGAGGGACCAGGAGCTACACTGCCCTTTTGTTTTAAATAGGGCAGATGTGTGTAAATCCTTTAAAAGGGTTAACCCACACAAGGCTCCTGGACCTGATGGCATCCCTGGCCGTGTTCTCAGGGTGTGTGCAGTTCAGCTGGCAGAGGTGTTCACAGACATCTTCAACAGGTCCCTGCTGCAGTCTGTAGTCCCCACATGTCTTAAACACTCCACCATCATTCCTGTCCCCAAAAAGACAATCATCACCTGCCCCAACGACTACCGCCCAGTAGCACTCACCTCCATCATAATGAAGTGCTTTGAGCGGTTAGTCAAATTATTCATCACCTCCTCCCTCCCTGAATCTCTGGACCCCCTGCAGTTTGCCTACAGAGCAAACAGGTCCACAGACGACGCCATAGCCCTCACCCTCCACACTGCCCTCTCACACCTGGACCCGAAGAACAGGAACACATATGTGAGAATGCTGTTCATTGACTACAGTTCAGCATTCAACACCATTGTGCCCTCCAAGCTGGCCATCAAGCTCAGAGACCTCGGGCTCAACAGCGCCCTCTGCGACTGGATCCTGAACTTCCTGACGGGCAGACCCCAGGCAGTGCGGGTGGGAAACATCACATCCTCCACCCTGATTCTTAACACCGGTGCCCCTCAAGGCTGCGTGCTCAGCCCTCTCCTCTACTCCCTGTTCACCCACGACTGCGTGGCCACACACAGCTCCAACACCATCGTGAAGTTTGCTGATGACACGACCGTCATCGGCCAGATCACAGACGATGACGAGACGGCATACAGAGAGGAGGTCGAAAACCTGACATCTTGGTGCCAGGAGAACAACCTCCATCTCAACATCAGCAAAACAAAGGAGCTGATTGTGGATTACAGGAAGCAGCAGGGAGAGGGACACGCCCCCATCGCCATCAATGGGACTACGGTGGAGAGAGTCAAAAGCTTCAGGTTCCTTGGGGTCCACATCACTGAGGACCTGACATGGTCTCTTCACACCACCACCATCACCAAGAAAGCTCGACAGCGGCTCTTCTTCCTCCGCAGGCTGAGGAGGTTCAAAATGGATTCCAGGATACTCTGCAACTTCTACAGGTGCACGATAGAGAGTATCCTCACTGGCAGCATGGCGGCCTGGTACGGCAGCTGCACCGACCTCGATCGTAAGGCTTTACAGAGGGTGGTGAAAACTGCACAGCACATCACCAGGACGGAGCTGCCATCCATGGAGGACCTTTACTCCCAGCGGCTCAGGAAGAAATCACTACGGATTATCAAAGACCCCCATCACCCCAGCCACAAACTGTTCTTTCTGTTGCCGTCTGGCAGACGTTACCGCAGCATCCGGGCAAGGACAAGAAGATTCGGAGACAGTTTCTTCCCGCGGGCAGTGAGACTGTTAAAAAATTGAACTGTTGAAACAACTTCAAACATTCAACTGCTACTCAGTAGTATGTATCAAATACCTAATATATATATATCATTCCAATAACTTGTATATAGACTCATACTGCACTATTCCACATCATAACTTTATTTCATTTTTATAACTATTACTATTTTTGTATTGCTCTTGCTCTTATTGTTATTATGTTATGTTATTATGTTGCATTGTTGGAGAAGCCTGTGACATAAGATTTTCAACTGCATAATTACTCTGTAGCTATGTCAGATTGACAATAAAGAACCTTGAACCTTGAACCTTGAACCTTGAAGAGACTTGAAAGGTGGGTAAACGTCTCCATACAGCCACGGTTTAAAATAAAGCTGCAGATAAAAGTGTCATTTTTCAGAACAATGTTACCACTCTGATGATTCTTATTAATCTCAAATGCATGTTTGAGGTTTTTTTAATCAATGTTATTTTGCTGGCATTTCTTTGATGCCATAGTGCTACTATATATAACTTGTAAAACCATTTCAAAAAATGTGTCTAATATATAGCCATTTAAATGAAGGAAAACGGTAAACATTTGTGTTATCAATTATATTATAGACAACATAACATTAGACATTTCCCATAATATGAAAGGTTTGATATGATAAATGAAAATGATACCTTTGGAGAAATGTTGCAGCATATTGCCGCAAAAGTAAAAAAATAAATGCTCTCCAAGATTATCTTGAAAAGCACTGCTTTGTACCAAAGTGTGAAGAAGTATAGAACCAGACAGAGTCACATCAACATATCAGTTCATAGAAGATGACTCATCCGCAGCACGTATGCAACACACCATGCGAGTTTAGAGGTCAGGCAGCCGCCATGCTGCCAGTGAGCAATTCGTCAATGACAATGAATATGAAAAGTATTTTTCCAGCCAACATATTTTTGCTGTATGAGTCACAAAATCAGACATGACAGTAAATACTATTGCCCGCCAAGGCACACGACCCCTTTGTGATATTTACTTAAAATGATGAAAGACACAACAGCATTGGCTCTGATTTTTTTAAATATCATTAGTAATCTCAAACCAGTGGCGGCCTAACTGAAATGAAATAGTTTGCTTGAGTTCGACTTACATCCTGGGGACGAGCTACTCATCTTCACTCCACCCTTCATCTCTGTGAAGCTATGTCACCCTGCAGAGTGCGACTCCACCCTGGTTTACCCAGACGCCCTATCTATCTTCTTTAGGAGTTAAGCATTGTAATTATTGTGTCATTTTAATGATATTTAAAGATTAATAATACTGAAAAGGCAAATTCAAATACTTAATTCATACAGTATTATGCATACGATAGTGGGGGGTATAAGTGTGTGTTATAATCACTGTCATGCAGTCTAAAAGTCTTTAAAGCTTTTCACCTTTTTTGATATCTTAAGCTGTCAGCTTATGTTCTTTAACTTCTAGGCTCTATCCTCTTAACTCATACTTTTTTGTCTTTCTTTTATACTCACACAATAAGCTTTAAGTCTTTTGTTCTCGTGAACTTTGCACTTACAGAACTTGTGTCAATGGGAAATGTCTCTGTGTGGCATGTTACAAAAAACTAACTTTACACGGATGATTGCAAATGCTTAATTAAGAGGAGGAAAAACGCTCACACATCTTAAAAACAACTGTGGGTGACATTATTTATATCCATAAACCTGACCCAATGCAGGCTCTCTGTTAATCATATGAAAAGCTGTATTTCTCAGACGTAAGAAGTAAGAAAGGCAAAACCAAAATATACAGTGAAGACTTATTTGTATTTTAGGATACATTAGTTTGAGCACATTTGCCATATGGATCTTTGCATAAGCAGGCGTAAGTAACATTGTAAAATGTTATGATAAAATTAAAAAAAGTAACATTGCAACATTCATCCTTAATCTGCGAAATAATATGTGCATAAATAAGCATTATTATATATATTAAAGATACTTTAAACATTCACTAAGCCTAAGACACTTTATCATTCGAGAAAAGTCAGCATTGAAGACATTCATGATTCTCTGATCTAAAACTATGCATTGTGTCATTGATGCTTAGATCTTATTTTCCCTTTAAAACAACAACCAGGTAACATATTTGAGAAACACTGTGACCTGCACAAATAGTCTCCACGGACATCAAAACGATGAGAAGAGAGTTAGCTATCAGCCGTGCTACATCTCATTTCAGTGGGTAACCTCTTTTTGAACCTGCCTTGCACAAGGACTTCAACTGAAGTCCTAAGGTCCAAAGACAAACCCTAAACATGAAAAATACATTGATTTGAAGCTCAAGGATTTCAAGTACTTTTCTGTAGATGCTTTGTGCACACTATTTGCTTTTATGCAGGGATTACATGGTTGCAAACATCATTGTTATTCATATTTTCAATATGTGTCCCTGCACACATGCATACTCTCCATTAATCTACACGTGTCTCCACCCAGATGCCTCTCAGCTGCCTCTGCTATCTCTTTAGCACTGCTCTCAAGGGGTCACAGTGAAATGGGGAGAAATCAAATCAGAGCGATGTGTGAAGAGAAATATATTTATGAAGTCTCTTTGCCTCCTCTTCCTTGTCTCCTTATCTAACCAACACCCCCTTCTTTGAAATAAATAGGTGTGTAAACCCCTTTGGGTTACATTGTTCTTTCTTTCCTTTCTGTAACTCTGTTCTTTCAATACAATTAAATTGTTCCTTCTACCTCTCCTTTTTTTAGCTTTTCATTCATTCCCAGGTGTGACAGAT